GAAAACAGGCTGCCTAAGTATGGACCCCAATCAGAGACAACAAGCAACAGCTGATACTCGTTGCCTCTGATTGAGAACCACCCCGGCCAACACAGAAACACATGAGCTAGATAATCAACCTAGAACACAAAACACATAGAAACAACACACCCTGGCTCAACATAACAGAGTCCCAGAGCCAGGGCGTGACAGTACCCCCCCCCCAAAGGCGCGGACTGCGACCGCGCCAAACATAAACCGAACAGGGGAGGGCCGGGTGGGCATTCCTCCTCGGAGGCGGTTCCGGCTCCGGGCTTGACCACCACCCTCCGTAGCGCCCCTGGTCCGGTCTGGCCCCGCTGGCTGGAGCTGGACTGGACATCGGTGGAGCGGATTGCTTAGGCTCCGATGTGGAGCAGCTGACCGGTACCTGACCAGGCACCGGTGACCCAGGCATGGGCTGTGCCGGACTGACGACGCGCACCACAGGCTTGGTGCGGGGAGCAGGAACGGGCCGGACCGGGCTGACGACGCACACCACAGGCTTTGTGCGGGGAGCAGGGACGGGCCGAACCGGGCTGACGAAGCGCACTACAGGCTTGGTGCGGGGAGCAGGAACAGGCCGGGCCGGGCTGGCGACGCGCACCATTGGCTTGGTGCGGGGAGCAGGAACAGGCCGGGCCGGGCTGGCGACGCGCACCATTGGCTTGGTGCGGGGAGCAGGAACAGGCCGGGCCGGGCTGGCGACGCGCACCATTGGCTTGGTGCGGGGAGCAGGAACAGGCCGGGCCGGGCTGGCGACGCGCACCATTGGCTTGGTGCGGGGAGCAGGAACAGGCCGGGCCGGGCTGGCGACGCGCACCATTGGCTTGGTGCGGGGAGCAGGAACAGGCCGGGCCGGGCTGGCGACGCGCACCATTGGCTTGGTGCGGGGAGCAGGAACAGGCCGGGCCGGGCTGGCGACGCGCACCATAGGCTTGGTGCGAGAGGCAGGAACAGGCCGGGCTGGCGACGCGCATCACAGGCTTGGTGCGAGGGACAGGAACAGGCCGGACCGCACTGGGAACACACACCACTGGCCTTACCCGGGGATCAGGAACAGGCCGGACCGGACTGGCAACACACCTCAGTACCTCTCGCCGTGCCTCTACATTCTCCTTCCCTCTACTCGCCAATGGCTCCCGTAACCCAGTGGCCTTCTCTCCTCGTCCACTAACTCGCCCCTTATCTGCCTCCAGCAGTCCCGTCGTCCACGGTGTGAGCCCCCCTAAAAATGTATTGGGTTCGTCTCTCCCCCGTGGCTATGGCCTCCATGGCTCTCGCCAGACTCTCCAGCCTCTGCTCCCAAGTCCAACCTCTCTCCTCCTCACGCGGCTTGACCCAGTCGAGGTGGATATCCGCTAGAGTTACCTCTGGCGTTGGCTCCTGGACACGCTGCTTAACCCAGTCGAAGTGGATATCCGCTAGAGTTACCTCTGGCGTTGGCTCCTGGACAGTATGTTCGCAATTCATGCTGCGCATTGGTCCACTGTGTATGACGATCGTGACATCGTCAAAGAATCCTCCATTTGCAGCAATTACAGCCTTGCAGACCTTTGGCATTCTAGTTGTCAATTTGTTGAGGTAATCTGAAGAGATTTCACCCCATGCTTCCTGAAGCACCTCCCACATATTGGATTAGCTTGATGGGCACTTCTTACGTACCATACGGTCAAGCTGCTCCCACAACAGCTCAATAGTGTTGAGATCCGGTGACTATGCTGGCCAATCCATTATAGACAGAATACCAGCTGACTGCTTCTTCCCTAAATAGTTATTGCATAGTTTGGAGCTGTGCTTTGGGTCATTGTCCTGTTGTAGGAGGAAATTGGCTCCAATCAAGCGCCATCCACAGGGTATGGCATGGCGTTGCAAAATGGAGTGATAGCCTTCCTTCTTCAAGATCCCTTTTACCCTGTACCAATCTCCCACTAAACCACCACCAAAGCACCCCCAGACCGTCACATTGCCTCCACCATGCTTGACAGATGGCATCAAGCACTCCTCCAGCATCTTTTCTTTTGGTCTGCATCTCACAAATGTTCTTCTTTGTGATCCGAACACCTCAAACTTCGATTAGTCTGTCCATAACACTTTTTTCCAATCTTCCTCTGTCCAGTGTCTATGTTCTTTTGCCAGTCTGAGATATGGCTTTTGCTTTGCAACTCTGCGTAGAAGGTCAGCATCCCGGAGTCGCCTCTTCACTGTTGACGTTGAGACTGGTATTTTGCGGGTACTATTTAATGAAGCTGCCAGTTGAGGACCTGTGAGGCGTCTGTTTCTCAAACTAGACACTCTAATGTATTTGTCCTCTTGCTCAGTTGTGCACCGGGGCCTCCCACTCCTCTTTCTATTCTGGTTGGAGCCAGTTTGCACTGTTCTGTGAAGGGAGTAGGACACAGCGTTGTACGAGATCTTCAATTTTCAGCTGTGCTAACATAATTGCAAAAGGGTTTTCTAATGATCAATTAGCCTTTTCAAATGATAAACTTGGATTAGCAAACACAACGTGCCATTGGAACACAGGACTGATGGTTGCTGATAATGGGCCTTTGTACGCCTATGTAGATATTCCATAAAAAATCAGCCATTTCCATCTACAATAGCCATTTACAACATTAACAATGTCTACACTGTATTTCTGATCAATTTGATGTTATTTTAATGGACAAAAAAATTGCTTTATTTTCGAAGACAAGGACATTTCTAAGTGACAGCAAACTTTTGAATGGTAGTGTATATACAGTTGAAGTCGGAAGTTTACATACACCTTAGCCAAATACATTTAAACTCAGTTTTTCACGATTCCTGACATTTAATCCTAGTAAAAGTTCCCTGTCTTAGGTCAGTTAGGATCACCACTTTATTTTAAGAATGTGAAATGTCAGAACAATAGTAGAGAGAATGATTTATTTCAGCTTTTATTTCTTTCATCACATTCCCAGTGGGTCAGAAGTTTAAATACACTCAATTAGTATTTGGTAGCACTGCCTTTAAAATGTTTAACTTGGGTCAAACGTTTCGGGTAGCCTTCCACAAGCTTCCCACAATAAGTTGGATGAATTTTGGCCCATTCCTCCTGACAGAGCTGGTGTAACTGAGTCAGGTTTGTAGGCCTCCTTGCTCGCACACGCTTTTTCAGTTCTGCCCACACATTTTCTATAGGATTGAGGTCAGGGCTTTGTGATGGCAACGCCAATACCTTGACTTTGTTGTCCTTAAGCCATTTTGCCACAACTTTGGAAGTATGCTTGCATTGTCCATTTGGAAGACCCATTTGCGACCAAGCTTTAACTTCCTGACTGATGTCTTGAGATGTTGCTTCAATATATCCACATAATTTCCTTCCTCATGATGCCATCTATTTTGTGAAGTGCACCAGTCCCTCCTGCAGCAAAGCACCCCCACAGCATGATGCTGCCACCCCCGTGCTTCACGGTTGGGATGGTGTTCTTCGGCTTGCAAGCCCCCACTTTTTCCTCCAAACATAACGATGGTCATTATGGCCAAACAGTTCTATTTTTGTTTCATCAGACCAGAGGACATTTCTCCAAAAAGTACGATCTTTGTCCCCATGTGCAGTTGCAAACCGTAGTCTGGCTTTTTTATGGCGGTTTTGGAACAGTTGCTTTTTCATTGCTGAGTGGCCTTTCAGGTTATGTCGATATAGGACTCGTTTTACTGTGGATATAGATACCTTTGTACCTGTTTCCTCCAGCATCTTCACAAGGTCCTTTGCTGTTGTTCTGGGATTGATTTGCACTTTTCGCACCAAGGTACGTTCATCTCTAGGAGACAGAACGCATCTCCTTCCTGAGCGGTATGATGGCTGCGTGGTCCCATGGTGTTTATACTTGCGTATTATTGTTGTACAGATGAACGTGGTACCTTCAGGCGTTTGGAAATAGCTCCCAAGGATGAACCAGACTTGTGGAGATCTACAAAACATTTTCTGAGGTCTTGGCTGATTTCTTTTTATTTTCCCATGATGTCAAGCAAAGAGGCACTGAGTTTGAAGGTAGGCCTTGAAATACATCCACAGGTACACCTCCAATTGACTCAAATGATGTCAATTAGCCTATCAGAAGCTTCTAAAGCCATGACATCATTTTCTGGAATTTTCCAAGCTGTTTAAAGGCACAGTCAACTTAGTATATGTAAACTTCTGACCCACTGGAATTGTGATACAGTGAATTATAAGTGAAATAATCTGACTGTAAACAATTGTTGGCTATTTGAAGAATCTCAAATATAAAATATATTTGATTTGTTTAACACTTTTTGGGTTACTACATGATTCCATATGTGTTATTTCATAGTTTTGATGTCTTCACTATTATTCTACAATATAGAAAATATAAAAAATAAAGAAAAACCCTTGAATGAGTAGGTGTGTCCAAACTTTTGACTGGTACTGTATATAGTGTTTTATGTTAAGCTAAAGAAAATGTAATTTGATCATGCATACTTTGGTGTATCATCATGGTACAAATGTTGGTGTATTTACAAATGGCAGCCGTTCAATTTAGCAGTTTTTATCAATCAGAAATTTGTATTTTGACTAATGTAGTCTCTGTTTTTCAGTGAGAAGAAGGAAACATCATCTCTTCCCAGAGAATGAGTGGATGAGGGAAACGATGATATGGATGAAAACATTGTAACTGAAACAGCCAACCAACAGCTGTTGACTGAGCTGCTCTCTAATAAAGATTGTTCTGTGCCATAAAACACAGAGACCAACAACCAACAACAGACCAACAACAATTGCACACCAAAACAAGGCCTTTTCTCCCCATGAAACTGTACATTTCAAAGTGTTTAAGACTAAATAAAATGGCACCAACCCATCAAGATAAAAAGAGAATACGGTATCCACGTTGAAAATAACTGTAAGAACTGTTTGCGTTTGAGAAAAAAGACACCCCCCCCAACTTTACACTATATAACCCCATTCTCCACACACTTGCTCCCTCTCCTCTTGGATGGAGAGTGGGGGCAGTGGGCGATCGGGCGGAAGTAGCAGCAGCCGAAGTGCGCGAACAGGGGGGACCGGCAGTGTTATCGGGCGGAGTTCGGGATCGAGCCGAGGCGACTCAGGCAATTCCAGGTCAAACAGTGGCACTGCAGGATCCCTCGGCCGAAGCTCATCTGTTGGCGGCAGTGGTGGGATCATTGTCGCTGCTCCTGGCGCTGGAGGTGTGGCTCCTGCACCCCCATGTGCCAGTGAGTGGGAGATGTTCCAATTTGGAAAATACAATCTGGACATAATAGAGATGTTAAGCGGACACCAGGCCCATCAGTTCAAAGGCCTTGGGTTAGAACGACAGTTACAGCATCAGCAGCAAGTGCAGCTTCACCAGCACCAGCTCCAGCAGCAGCAACAACAACAGGCCGAGACCTCAGGAGCTCTCCTGTCTGGGCTAGGCCTTGGGTCCCTCCAAGGGGCCAGAAGCAACGCCTTTTCCGATTCTGCCTCTATTTTCGCCAAAATGAGCGCCCCTCCTCCACCCCCTCTACAACAACAACCTTCTTCGTCCTCACAAAGCTCAAGATCCAAGTCAAGCAAGATGAGTAGCAGCAGCAGCTCAAGCCATGTGTCGGGCTACCCACAGTTCCTGCGTTCCTTCCACCCGACAGAGGCAGCTCTGGCACAGGAGCAACTGCATTCTGGGGTCGGCCGCTTCGAGCACTTTGCTGGGGGTAGCAGTGGTGGGGGTGCCGGGGGGTTGGGAGTTGCCCCCCCTCCACCACCCCCTCTGCATCCAGGCCTCTCTGTCCCCCAAGCATCACCTGGCCCTTCATCCTCTTCCCCCTCCCCCTCTAGTTCAGTGGTATCTAACAATCCCCCCAGTAGCAGTGCAGTCACCTCTCTGGGACACCAGCTGGTTGGGGCCCAATCTGATGCACGGAGCCTTCACCAGCAGTTCAGTTGCATGCTAGCTGCTAATCAGTACTTTCTCTCTGGGGTGCCTGCTAATGCTAGCTTAGAGCAGTTTCTGGTTCAGCAGGGAACCCACAACCACCTGGGGATAGGTTTAGGTCAGAGTGAGGGATCCAGCTCAGGCCTTGCTCCACCTCCAGCTCTGCATTCCTCTCATTCACATGGCCTCTCTACCGCTCAGCCACAGCAGCAGCAGCCTCCACAGCAGCAGCAGCTGCCTCCCCATACCCTGTCCCACCCCCACTCTCACTCCCACCCTCACCACCCCCTCCACCCAGGATCCCAGCCGTCCTCCCTGGGTGGTTTTGACTTCCAGGGCATCCCAGTGCTCTCCTCCAATCAGCTGGCCTCTCTGATGCAGCAGGAAGCAGGCCTGCCGCTCCCCCTGCCGCTTCATCTGTCCCTCTCCAAGGATGACGGCAAGGGGGACAGCAGTGGGGGCGGAAGCAGCAGCAGTAGGAGGAAGAAAGCGATGGCTGGCTACCTGCCACAGAGGAAGTCAGATGGCGGCAGTAACAGCAGCAGCGGCCACGGCAGTGGGAACCCCAATGCTAGCAGCAGTACAGGGGGTCTGGGCCACGACCCCTCCCCAGGGCTGGTTGTCGGTGGGGGCGGAGGGGTTGGCATGTCAGGTTTGGGAGGAGATCCATCCCTCCTTGCCTCTTCATCATCCTCATCATCATCAGTTGTCTCATCCTCCTCTTCCTCTGGCCCCTCCTCCACTGCAGCATCAGTCCTGGTTACTAATGGTTCTCACCTATCCAAAGCTGATAACATGGGCTCCATGCCATCTGCATCTACACAGGATGACACTGAGCCCCTCTATAACTGTGGTGAGTGTGGCAAAACCTTCACTCACCTCTCCAGCCTTCGCAGGCACCTGCGCATGCATGAGTCTACGGCAGCAGGTACTAGCAATAATGCCAGCATTAACCCAAACCCGACTCATATCCAACCACCAACTGACCCCAGTCTCCCACACTCCACCCAGGATCTGAACTCTCAATCTAGCTCGCTGTCCTCCCAACAATCATCCAACTCAGTCCAGGCCTCCTCCTCCTGCCCCAGCCCTGACAAGACCTTCAATTGCTCAGATTGTGGCAAGCACTTCAAGAAGAAGGGGCACCTCCTCCAACATGGCGTCATCCACTCAGAGGCTCGCCCGTATGGGTGCAGCATCTGCTCCCGGGCTTTCAACCGCCGTGAGTCGCTGACGCGACACGAGAAGATTCACCAGGACAAGCCCTTCCGCTGCCCAGCCTGCGGTCGATGCTTCCGTGAGAGCACCTCTCTACTCAACCATGCTGCCTCTGGCACATGCGGCAAGCCAGGTAGGACATCAAAACCACAAGGCAGCAGCAAGGAAGGAGCTGTAGGTGAGGGCAGAATGGGAGGAGGGGGCGGAGGAGAAGGTGGAGTGGGGGATTACCAGGGTGGTAGAGGGGTAATTTATGGGAAAACTGAGGAAGAGGAAGAGGGTGTGATCATGGGAGGTGAGGGGGTTCAGAAGTCAAGGCTAGGGTGTGATGGTGGTCTGTTTCAGTCAGAGAGGGGAGGGAATGCTAACAGCAGGGACAGGCCAGATGGTAAATACCCCACTGATTACTCTCGGAATCGTTACACAGGCTACCATGACGACCACCGTTCTCAAGGTAACCCGTCTCCGTGTTACTCTGGAGCCTCCCCCTGTGGCAGCGGGATGGCGGGCCCGGCGCTGAGGAAGGCGCCCTTGGCCCCGACGCTGCACCCCCACCCTCAGAGTCAAACCCAACATCACCACCAGCAGCAGCAGCCTCACCTCCCCCTGTCCTCTCTCCTGGATGACTCTGAAGACGACGTCACCAGCTCTGTCAACAACGCCATCTCAGCCATCGCCGCCGCAGCTGCCGCCAACTGTGATATGAACAGTGGGAACAGAGGCGACGATAGGAGGGATATCATCGGAGGGCTGTTGGGGGGGCTGGACTTAGGCCCCTTGGGTTCCCCTTCATCAACATCTGGGATGGATAAGACCTATAGAGGAGCAGGGAACCAGGATGGTATGAGTGGTAATATGAACCACAACCAACAGCAGGGGAGTGATCCACAGAACCCTGCTGCCAAACCAAAACGTCCCCGGAAACCCAGAAAGCCCAAAGACCCCAACGCTCCTCCTAAACGCAGGCAGTACACCCCCAGAACTCCCAGAGAGTCGAGCAACATCCCGCGGCCATATCTGTGCAGTGTTTGCGGTAGGGGGTTTGCACGCCGCGAGACCCTCCGTAGGCACGACCGCGTCCATACTGGGGAGAAGCCCCACCGCTGCAGTACATGTGGGAAGTACTTCAGAGAGGCCTTCCACCTCACCAAGCACCACACAGTTCACTCTGGGGAGAAGAACTACAAGTGCAGCCTGTGTGGGAAAGAGTTTGGCTACTCCCAGAGCCTCAAGAGGCACGGGAAGCTCCATCAGAAAGGGGAGCTGGAAGAGGTGCCCACAACACCAGGAGGGGAGAACCTCAACAACTTCAACACAAACCCCTCATGTGGTATGGGCCAAGACAGGGAACAGAACCAAGGAAACACCTCCTCCTCCTATTACTCATACCCCCAAGATGTCAAGCCTCAAGGCTCCAACAGCCAGCCCCCACCCAGGCTCTACACCTGTGCGATATGCTGGAAGTCTTTCCGCCATCACTTCCACCTGACGGCTCATCACCAGACGGTCCATGAGAACGGAGGTGAGAAGCTGTTCAGCTGCGAGGTGTGTGGGAAGGCCTTTGCCTACTCTAACAGCCTCACGCGACACAGGCTGTCACAGCACGGCCTGGCGCGCACCGGCCCTGACAACACACAAGGGGACGCCAGTGGGTCAGTGGGAAACAGTGCAGCTGGTGGTGGAGTGAGTGGGACTGCGTCAGAGAGCGAGGCAGCCACCAACGCCCTCCTTCAGATGGCACCTTCCACTGAGGGCCACGGTGGGCAGCAGAGTCACAGTGTTGTCACCCACAGTCATCAACAACAGCCACCTCAGCCCCCAGCTGGCTACTCCCCCCTTTTCTATGATGCTGGTACGGCCCACTCCTCAGCCTCCAGCGTCCCTCCCTACTCTCAGCCCCTGCCACCCAACTCCACAATCATGCCCCCTCAGCACCAGCATTCCCCAGCAAGGGTTAAAGGGGAGCACATTTACCCAGCTGGGTCCAGTAGTCACACCCTTCACACCACGGCTCCATTCCAGCCCCTCACGGAGCTGCCGTCCGACCATCATCACCACCACCACCACCACCACCATTCTTCACATCACCACCACCGTTCAGAGCCCCAGTCCCAGCAACAACACCACAGGAACATCCAATCACACGATGATATGAGGAGGCACAAGAAGAAGAAGAAAAAGTCAGACAGGAGGGAGGGGAGCGAGGGGAGGGGGGACATGTGGGGGGAGTCCTCAGGCTTCCTCAGAGACGAGGGGAGGAAAGACAAGAGGAAGAGGAGGACTGTTTTCCAAAAACAGTTGAGGAAGAAAAAGCTGCTGTTGAAAATTAGACGAGGGGGGGAAGCGGGAGGGGGAGGATATGAGTTGGTCACAACAAGAGGGATGAAGTTACAAATCCTGTCATCTCTCAAAGTCCCAGTGAAACGTTTTTGCCTGCTCCATCTGTCCCCACGCCATGTTCGCTCGCCAGGCTGGCCTGCTAGCCCACAGGGCAGCTAAACACACCCAGAGAGTCCTGTCCCCCCAGGAGCGTCTCTGCTGCGGTGTGTGTGGGAAGCAGTCTCACAGGCTCCTGGAATCCTTCATCCACCGTGCGACTCATCGGGGGTCCTTCTCCTGCAGGCACTGCTCCGCTCGCTTCTGGAACGCCCCCCTCCTCCGCAGGCACAAGGTGACCTGCCGACATAGGGCCAAGGGACTGCCACGAGGTGGCGCTATCAGCCTGAAGTCATCCAAGAGGGTGGGGGAGAGGAAGAGCGGAGAGGAGCGGAGGGAGATGTCGCACTCCCTGCTTACAGAGTACAGATACTGAGCTTGCTAACTTCTAAAGTAGTGGCGTTTAAATTTTCACTGATAGGAAAGGGAGAGGTTATCAGTTTTGGACTATACATAGAAGAAGATGGACTTTAAAAAGCCTTTGGGGTGGGGGGGGGGGGGGGGCATTGAATTGGTCTGGTGTCTGTCTGGACCTCATCAACTCAACTCACTGACTGTTAGAACGAGTGTTTTAACAACATGAACTACTGTAGATCAACCAAGGATCACCTGGAATTCTTCCATCCAAACTGTATGGGAGGATGTTGAAAGACATTGCTGTTTTCACATGATCATTAACCCTTAAGTGCATTGACACTATGCTTGGCTGACACTGTGCAGTTATTAGACACGTTTAGGTGATTTGACCTGCTAATTTAACTCTACCCCCTCCGCCTTACTAGCATCCCTGCTATATCCCTAGCTGTATGATAACTCTGTCTCTGCTGTGTACTATGTCTTGTTGATGTTCACCTAGAGCCCTTTTGGGGATTTTTTTAATGTAAAAAGTGCATTTAGTAGGAGTAGGGAGAGGGGGGGACACAGACTTCTGGTTGGTAGAGAGGCAGTCTGTCTGTCGGTGCATGTGTGTTTTTTGGTCAGTTTGTTGCAGAGGTTGTGAATTCAGAATGTAACGGTTAATTCAGTACATCCAAAAAGGACGTGTTTTTAGCGTAAGTTAACAAAGTCGTGAAAAATTTCCCCAGTGATTTAATCACATCTTTAAAAATAGATTTGAGAATCTTAATAGATTGAAGTGAATACCACTTTCCAGACAAAAAAGTGTATCTTACAAAAAGCCTTGCTAATCATGATCACTTTATTTAATTTCATGCCTGTGGAAACAACTGTAGCTTTTATACCAAGAGATTGAGATCAAGACAGGATGAAAAATGCTTACTGTAACGTATATTGTGTTAATATCTTATCACTGCTTTGTTTTTCTTTTCACAAAGTACTTTATTTCGCTTTTACTGTTCCTTCTTTATAATGGGTTAAAGGCTAGGAGCTGTCATAGTAGCAAAAACGGTTATGATGACATGTATTAATGTGTGTAACTCCATCTGTCTACCTGCCAAACACGGATTTCATCCTTTCCTCTGCTCTTATTTTTTGCTGAGTTGCAATCATGTTCATACCCCTGTCAAGCCTTGTTTTATCTACTAAAGAAAAATAATAGTTCTAAGTACATTTCTATCACTTTATTTACTTAAAACAAAGATAGTTGTTGATTATACTTCAGCATTGAATAAAACATAAGTGTTCTCCGCTGTGCTTTTTCTCCATGTATCATGTAATTCTAATGATGACGAACTGGATACTTACTGATAATTAATCATGTGGGTATTGACTCTATAATGAGTAAAATGTTACAAATACCAAAATCAGTATACTAGTTTTGAAGATATATAGTTGAATAGCTGTGTGGCCCTGATGGATTAGAGGATGTCATCATGGATATACAAATACATTTCAACTTAGCACAACTATGGTTATCCACTTATTGGCCAGGTCATTCCAATTCATGTTGTATATTTGACTAGAAATGCATTTTTTTTTGCTTTGTTTTCCATGACCCCAATTTGAAATGGCCACAACTCACAACCACCCAAAATAAATAATGAATGGACTTCTGCAGCCTACAGTACTATGTTAAATCCACTAGATGGCATTAGGCACCTCATTTCTGCTCACTGTACTCTGGCCCTTGTGTGGTAGAGTGTGGGAGTCACATGGATTTTACACTGATAGGGGGTGGATTCAAGAGGCAGAACGTGCAGTGTCCATGTCTGAGCCTTGTGTGAATGTGACTGAGTGACCTAGTGTGTACAAATGTGTGTGTGTGCAGACTCATGCTTGCATGCGAGTGTGAGATAAATCTATTTGTGTACTACACATAGAACATCAACATAAATGCATACATACAAACATACATAGTCTACATCCAGAATTGCTAGGCAGTTATGGCTGTCCTACTGACCTAGTTCTGTTAGTTTGTGTGAATATAGGCTATTGTAACGTAGACTACAGTAACATGACAGCTATGGTCTGTTGTTCTGGTGTGACTTGAGTATGTTTTATGTGGCAGCAGCACTGTCACACTAACTGCTATAGAGGGATATGCACATTTCCCTTCATTATGCATATTCCCACCGTATCAACACCAAATGCTACTAAACAACAATAATTAATGTCTAAATACAAAAAGAAACATGAAATGCTAACACTACCATTTTAATTTCTAGAAACCATGGTCTGTTCGTGTGCTAGTGCGTTCTCCACGTCATGTAGGCCTATAGCCGAAGAAGCATATTATAGGCTACTCCAGAAAATCACATTGTAGGATTTTAAATGAATTTATTTGCAAATTATGGTGGAAAATAAGTATTTGGTCACCTACAAACAAGCAAGATTTCTGGCTCTCACAGACCTGTAACTTCTTCTTTAAGAGGCTCCTCTGTCCTCCACTCGTTACCTGTATTAATGGCACCTGTTTGAACTTGTTATCAGTATAAAAGACACCTGTCCACAACCTCAAACAGTCACACTCCAAACTCCACTATGGCCAAGACCAAAGAGCTGTCAAAAGACACCAGAAACAAAATTGTAGACCTGCACCAGGCTGGGAAGACTGAATCTGCAATAGGTAAGCAGCTTGGTTTGAAGAAATCAACTGTGGGAGCAATTATTAGGAAATGGAAAGCATACAAGACCACTGATAATCTCCCTCGATCTGGGGCTCCACGCAAGATCTCACCCCGTGGGGTCAAAATGATCACAAGAATGGTGAGCAAAAATCCCAGAACCACACGGGGGGACCTAGTGAATGACCTGCAGAGAGCTGGGACCAAAGTAACAAAGCCTACCATCAGTAACACACTACGCCGCCAGGGACTCAAATCCTGCAGTGCCAGACGTGTCCCCCTGCTTAAGCCAGTACATGTCCAGGCCCGTCTGAAGTTTGCTAGAGTGCATTTGGATGATCCAGAAGAGGATTGGGAGAATGTCATATGGTCAGATGAAACCAAAATATAACTTTTTGGTAAAAACTCAACTCGTCGTGTTTGGAGGACAAAGAATGCTGAGTTGCATCCAAAGAACACCATACCTACTGTGAAGCATGGGGGTGGAAACATCATGCTTTGGGGCTGTTTTTCTGCAAAGGGACCAGGACGACTGATCCGTGTAAAGGAAAGAATGAATGGGGCCATGTATCGTGAGATTTTGAGTGAAAACCTCCTTCCATCAGCAAGGGCATTGAAGATGAAACGTGGCTGGGTCTTTCAGCATGACAATGATCCCAAACACACCGCCCGGGCAACGAAGGAGTGGCTTCGTAAGAAGCATTTCAAGGTCCTGGAGTGGCCTAGCCAGTCTCCAGATCTCAACCCCATAGAAAATCTTTGGAGGGAGTTGAAAGTCCGTGTTGCCCAGCGACAGCCCCAAAACATCACTGCTCTAGAGGAGATCTGCATGGAGGAATGGGCCAAAATACCAGCAACAGTGTGTGAAAACCTTGTGAAGACTTACAGAAAACGTTTGACCTGTGTCATTGCCAACAAAGGGTATATAACAAAGTATTGAGAAACTTTTGTTATTGACTAAATACTTATTTTCCACCAAAATTTGCAAATAAATTCATTAAAAATCCTACAATGTGATTTTCTGGAGAAAAATAATCTCATTTTGTCTGTCATAGTTGACGTGTACCTATGATGAAAATTACAGGCCTCTCATCTTTTTAAGTGGGATAACTTGCACAATTGGTGGCTGACTAAATACTTTTTTTCCCCACTGTACCTATAAAATCAGAGTCACCTTTGTTCGCTAAGGACATTTACATGTAACAGGAATTTGACCTGGTGAGATGGTGCTGCCACAATAAACAGAGTATACAGACAAAAATATATAAAATATATAGCCTACTATAGCTTAAAGAAACATTTATTATGATTTAAAATAGAAAACAATTTGTAGAAAATGTGAATGTAATTTAAGGTCATTGTCAATCTCTTCTATAGTCTAACTACCTGTTCTGTAGGCCTGTTCTATGCTCTCTCAAACCTTCTAAAATTGTACTAACCGATTCATTATCATGAATAGGTCAGGCATAAAGGCCTGCAAGGTTGGTTTTGCAGTATACTTCTGCAGTAAACACAAATGTGTGATAGTTTATCATCAATCAATGTATGCTGTTGGCATACAGTGGGGAAAAAAAAGTATTTAGTCAGCCACCAATTGTGCAAGTTCTCCCACTTAAAAAGATGAGAGAGGCCTGTAATTTTCATCATAGATACACATCAACTATGACAGACAAATTGAGAAAAAGATTTCCAGAAAATCACATTGTAGGATTTTTTATGAATTTATTTGCAAATTATGGTGGAAAATAAGTATTTGGTCACCTACAAACAAGCAAGATTTCTGGCTCTCACAGACCTGTAACTTCTTCTTTAAGAGGCTCCTCTGTCCTCCACTCGTTACCTGTATTAATGGCACCTGTTTGAACTTGTTATCAGTATAAAAGACACCTGTCCACAACCTCAAACAGTCACACTCCAAACTCCACTATGGCCAAGACCAAAGAGCTGTCAAAGGACACCAGAAACAAAATTGTAGACCTGCACCAGGCTGGGAAGACTGAATCTGCAATAGGTAAGCAGCTTGGTTTGAAGAAATCAACTGTGGGAGCAATTATTAGGAAATGGAAGACATACAAGACCACTGATAATCTCCATCGATCTGGGGCTCCACGCAAGATCTCACCCCGTGGGGTCAAAATGATCACAAGAACGGTGAGCAAAAATCCCAGAACCACACGGGGGGACCTAGTGAATGACCTGCAGAGAGCTGGGACCAAAGTAACAAAGCCTACCATCAGTAACACACTACGCCGCCAGGGACTCAAATCCTGCAGTCCAAGACGTGTCCCCCTGCTTAAGCCAGTACATGTCCAGGCCCGTCTGAAGTTTGCTAGAGTGCATTTGGATGATCCAGAAGAGGATTGGGAGAATGTCATATGGTCAGATGAAACCAAAATATAACTTTTTGGTAAAAACTCAACTCGTCGTGTTTGGAGGACAAAGAATGCTGAGTTGCATCCAAAGAACACCATACCTACTGTGAAGCATGGGGGTGGAAACATCATGCTTTGGGGCTGTTTTTCTGCAAATGGACCAGGACGACTGATCCGTGTAAAGGAAAGAATGAATGGGGCCATGTATCGTGAGATTTTGAGGGAAAACCTCCTTCCATCAGCAAGGGCATTGAAGATGAAACGTGGCTGGGTCTTTCAGCATGACAATGATCCCAAACACACCGCCCGGGCAACGAAGGAGTGGCTTCGTAAGAAGCATTTCAAGGTCCTGGAGTGGCCTAGCCAGTCTCCAGATCTCAACCCCATAGAAAATCTTTGGAGGGAGTTGAAAGTCCGTGTTGCCCAGCGACAGCCCCAAAACATCACTGCTCTAGAGGAGATCTGCATGGAGGAATGGGCCAAAATACCAGCAACAGTGTGTGAAAACCTTGTGAAGACTTACAGAAAACGTTTGACCTGTGTCATTGCCAACAAAGGGTATATAACAAAGTATTGAGAAACTTTTGTTATTGACTAAATACTTATTTTCCACCAAAATTTGCAAATAAATTCATTAAAAATCCTACAATGTGATTTTCTGGAGAAAAATAATCTCATTTTGTCTGTCATAGTTGACGTGTACCTATGATGAAAATTACAGGCCTCTCATCTTTTTAAGTGGGATAACTTGCACAATTGGTGGCTGACTAAATACTTTTTTTCCCCACTGTATGTCTATTTGTAAAGAAAACAAGTGAGTGGTACACACAGTAATAACCTCATAAGGATGTATATTGTTCCTGGGATCTGTCTAAATATTGTTTTTCCTATGTCCGACTAGAAGTAAAAAAAGAAAACAATTTCCTGTGGCTCTGGCTGTGGGTTGAAATACTGTACTGCAGACACCTCGCGCTGTTCTGCTTTGAATCGGTCTCACGCGGCCGTAGCATGGGGGGAATCCGTAGGGCGGGGCGGGTGGCCTAGTTCTTTCCAATAAACGCTCACTAGGGGAGGAGACAGTATTTTCTCCAACCAATCGCAGCTAGAGCAACCTGCATAAGGGTTGCACCTCCGCGTGACTGGGCCATGTGCGCTATAACAGCTATTCTGCTTTTAGGAAGCAACGTGCTGCTGTGTTCCTTTCGCCTGAAAACCCGGCAGCCACTCACGTTTTCTCTGGATTACAAGCGGACTGGGAAAACTATACTTTACACTCAGTTGCTTGTATTTAGAATGGTGCTAGGCCCATTGCTATTATAATGAAATGATAATATTGGCACTCATTTTGGGCAATAATCTTTATGCCTAGATGAATTTTCTATAGAGGCTATGTCTCAAGGCCCCCTCAGTTGCTTGTGTCATTTAAAGACGTTAATTCAAAGGCATGATGATAACGGTGGCGGGTGATTGATAACTGTCCATTTGTTTTGGTCCTTCTGTGCATGAACACACAAACAACAAGTGCGTGGCGTGCCCCCTCGAGGTGTGGCACGAGGGGGGTTGTGTGTTGTGTCATGCATATTGAACAAATAAGCCAATCATGCCTTCTCTCGCGCCTTGCCCTATGAGTTGTGACGTCACGTGAAACTGCCCGTGTTCATTCCAGCTGAGAAGACAGCCGTCGCGCAGCTCAAATCCAAGCCCGTGCCTCAGTACATTGGCTACAAAAAGTACGCGGGGGGAAAAGAGGAGCCCCCCCCCCCCCCATCCAGAAAGAACGACAGGGAGACAGGAAAGCCGAAAGAAAAAAGTAATACAGCTTGTCACCCGACCAATAGCGCGCGTACTCAGCCTTCTCCGCTTCTTGCTCTTCATTATTTGTTCATTTGGCATTTTGGAGCAGGACATTCTTTTTCCTTGCTTCGAGTTTCATTTTGATCGTATCGTCATTTTTTTGGTGTTGATCATCTCAGGATATTTTTTCGACAACAACTTATTGATCTCCAGCTCGGATTTTATTTTGTCCACCTTTGAATTGACCATGGGCACCAGTCATACTCAATTAGTTTGACGTTTACCACTGGTTTCTATTGGAGAATAACATCTTGATCTGAACCGAGGAATTAAAATAATATAGTGCTGCAACAAATCGACTGGAATACTGTCTATGAGAATGATACAACAGTGGATCTAAGAACACTTCAAAGCCTAAATAGAGGGAAAGGTAAAAAAATGTTTATTGACATTCAATAACGACATGTTTTGCAAATATTGCATGTTATTATTAGGCTACAGTCTGGTATGCTGAGCCTGGGAATCATATATATATATTTTTTTATGTTTTCATATCTTGTCGAGGTATGCACTCACATATGCATTTTATATTATTTCAACAAGTTTTAATGTTATATCAAATCATATACTGTTCATTGCACCTGGTTTGTACCCAATTCTAACTATAATATATGTTAATTCAATATTATCGTTCATTGAATAGCGGTGATCAATCTGCCAGTCATCTCGACTCCGCCTGCGCCCAAGGATCCTAATCAATAACCAGGTCCGGCCAACAATGTCCAGGCAGCTCACCCAGCTCCTGACCCCGGACCTCCCAGCCGGCGCTAGCCCGCAGTTCGGGAACTGCAACCAGTCAGGTGGCTCTATCAGCGGTGGACACCTCAACTCCATGACTAGTTTGAAATCCCTCCTGCAGCATCCGATGAAGGGAGACCGTGCAAGTGTCAAAGACTGCTGCGACGTTAAAGGTGAGAAGATAACTTTGATTTCATTTTAATGTTACATTGTTATTATGCTGTTACAACTGACAGCTCTACAGTGCAACAATGTTGCTGATGGAGTTTGCTGCACTTATGCTAACAGACACTGCATGCCTATGTCGTTTTTTGTTATTTTGCATATTTTGTAACTGACAGTCATTGAAATCATATCTACCAGTCTCCATTGCCAGTGACATTCATTGAAATCATATCTACCAGTCTCCATTGCCTGTGACATTCATTGAAATCATATCTACCAGTCTCCATTGCCTGCCTGTCTCCATTGAGTACAGTATGGTGAAGACAGCTGTGCTCACCTGCATAACTTAATATCTGGCCCTGCCATTGTCACACGCACATGACATGACACATGCACCACTGTCTGACTTGTTGTTTGGAAACAAAACAGAGAAGGTATACTGGTGTGATGCTTCAATACAGAACTAAGCTCTGAATAATGATTAATGATTGACATTCTGCAACCAACACACACCATAGGATATACATGATGGTGGAAGTTGACCTTTAGAACTGATTCAGGGTCAGTTTTGTATTTTTACTTCTGATAATACTGGTCAGAACCACAATAGGGAAACTTTGTCTCAGAGCAGAACTTACACTCTTAGAAAAAAGGGTGCTATTTAGAACCTAAAAGGGTACTTCGGCTGTCCCTATAGGAGAACCCTTTGAATAACTATTTTTGGTTCCAGGTAGAACCCTTTTGGGTTCAATGTAGAATCCTTTTTTTTACAGAGGGTTCTACCTGGAACCCAAAAGGGTTCTACCTGGAACCAAAACAGGTTCTCCTATGGGGACAGCCGAAGAACCATTTTGGAACCCTTGTTTCTAAGAGGTTTAGGATCAAATGCTCTTTGGAAAATGTTTAATTGAATCCAACCACTCCTATAGTATAGAGCAGTAAACCAGAAAGGAAATGATGGGACAGTAATCATGTTCAAATCAGCTATAAGTGACTCTGTTGAGCTTCACAATCAACTTCAGATACTTTTGGATGATTTGGACATGCTAATATCGGTCCCATGACTTGAATAGGAATTGTGCCACAAATGCTAAAACATTAGCATGTGGAAACAGTGCCAGGGAAACTAAACCAATGCATGAACTGCTGTCATACCTTATCCATAGACAGTTTACAGGGTATGGAAACCAATATGCCATTATCCCTGTAACACATTATTACGTGGTCATTAGACGTAACAAACACTTATATCCAATCACAAAGGTCACTCACTGTCCAATTATGACCCTCAAATGTCCAATAGAATGATGGTGCCATCCCACGTTGCACTCTGCTGTGAGCTGAGCATGATGTTCTCATATGGATTATAATCTCCGCCCCTCCAATCCCCTGGCATAGTTTTAGATTAGCATGCAGATTAAGATGAAGTCTTTTGGTATAATATCTGACATGCTAAACAGTACCAGCCAGGCCTGTGGTATGGATGCCTATATTCACAAATTAATCTGTCTCACCAAATATAGACATAGACATACATAGATGTAGTAAAAATCATATTGCTTTTCATCCAGCATTCTCATTTTGATTATTGTGCAGTTTAGTGTATGACCATCTGTTACGGTCTGACTGAAGCATTCATTGGTGTTTGTGCGCATAGCAGTGCAGCTGATGCATACAACTGTCACACCATTCCACAGATATCCATCTATCTCTCAGTCTCTGTTGAGTTGACGCATCTATAGTGGAATTGTGCCTCTGGACCTCAACAGCCATGAGGCTTGGGCCATAGCGGCCTCTTGTCTCATTGACTTAAATGAAATAGGTTTACAAGAACGCCTACAGCTTTGGACTTAAGATAATTATATCCTGTCATATGACCCTAAAAAAGTCCCCCCAAATAACTAAAAAGCAAAGTGTAGACAGAAGAAACCCTGTGAGGAACCAGACTTGGGGAGTGGATCTAGTGGGATACCATAACACTAACATGTCAATAATCCCAAAACCACCTCTGACAGCACCCAGGGTCAAACATTTGATGCGACAACAACAACTCCCGAGATGTCCCAACCCCTGTCCATCTGTTACTAACCAACATCCTCCATTTTGTCTCCCTCCCACCATCACAGACAAAGACAGAACCATCACAGACATGGATGAGGACTCCATGGGTGGCGGGAACGGCGGCTGCAACATGCGTACCGGCAGCAGCGGGGTGAGCAGCAGTAACAGTAACGGCTGTGGCAGTGGAGGAGGAGGTGGAGGATCAGGTGGAGGATTTAACCAGTCTGCGTTCCTGGGACCCCTCCTGTGGGAGAGGACCCTGCCGGTGGAAGGAGGCCTCTTCCAGCTGCAGTACATGGACCTGGAGGAGTTCCTCACAGAGAACGGCATGGGCGGTGTCCACGGACAAAACAGTTCCAGTACAGCCCAGATCCCGTCCCAGAGTTCCCAGTCGGCGGTGCCCAATCAGAGTTCCCAGTGCCCCCCCTCATCGCCCCCACCCTGCTCTTCAGCCTCCTCCTCGTCATCCTCATCTTCCCCATCGCTCATCGGCCTGGAGGTGGCCCAATCCAACATGCAGGGAGGAATTGACTATGGTGAGTTACCTGAACCGGGTGTAGGTGGAGGGGAGGGCAACATGCAGGGATTTCTGTGGTGATTTTATCCCATGGAATATGATACGGAACAGTGTACATCTGTTTTATTGTACACATCTTCAATAGGACAATGGGGAAAGGGGTGGAGGTTGAGACGGTTTATGGTGATTCTATGGAAAGGGATTGTGGGGGTGGTGGGGTGGTTGGTGAATGTATCACAGTGTATCGTTGTTTACATGGTATCAACAATGTATTCAGTGGTCCAGTTTGGCCAAATGTAGCAAGGATTATGGTGCCATGTTGTTTTGGCCTTGTGGAGCGGCAACTAGATGAAGGATTAAAATGGAGGATCAGTGATATGTCAGATACCATGGTGACCCTGTATCAATACAGGACGTCCATGTCCTTAGAGAGAAGGCTGTAGAGTCTGCACAGAGTTATCATGTGATTCAGCTCTTTAAGTTGTCCTCAGTCCTCATATTGAACTCCTCCTATGGTGACCAAGCATCATTTTCTTTGGAGCCAAATGGAATCCCTTAACGCTGAGTTAACTTGACAGAGAGTGAACAACAAGGAGGGGTTGAGAAAGCAACGAGAGGAATTTCCTGTAGGCTACAAACTACCCTTCACACTGAGCTGGTTTAACATTTAGGCTGCCTGAGAGAAAGAGAGGAGTGACATTTGACAAATTAATCTCACAGCACTGACAAAGGGGTTTGGTTTGGTCGATTTTATGTTCAATTCAGGTCCAACCAGCCATTTACTGAACACTAAGTTCTAACTGTACACAGGGAGATCGAGCAAGAGATAAGGAGGGGAGGGAGAGGAAGGAGGTGTGTGTAATGAGTGTTTGTGATCGCGTGTCTTTAAATCTCTCCCCAACTCACACACTACAGCAATGTGCACGTGCAGCGTCCCTTCACGTGCCGAGGCTGTGAGCACTGGAGCAAGAGAATGAGAGAGGCAGGGCCAAGCGGAGGACTGGGAGGAGCGGAGAGGCACACCAGGGTGGGAGGGAGAGCGAGAGAGAGTGAGGGAGGGAGGGAGGGAAGGAGGGGGAGGAAGAGGTTCCCATTGCCTGCTGATACTGAAGTTCAAATGGAATGTTTGAATGCAGAAGAGAGCGATTGAGTACAGAGAGAGTCATGATTAAGATATGGTTCCATACAGTAGATAGGGAATGTCAGTAGCCATTGTATTTAACCCTTCATACACTGGTTGTTTCTTCGCTGCATTTCAGTTGTATTCCAATGTCACATCTCACAATAATGCACGTTAGCCAGATTAGACATGAGTTAAATACAACGCACTCACATTTATCAATACAAATCAGATAGTTATGTAAAAGAAGCATTGATGAAGCCAAAATTGATATTGCGGGTTGGATGATGTGTTTGTTACATAGTCGTTACAGTGTAACACAGATTATGAAGCAAGACAGGAGAACGTATCTGTAATGATCTGATTTGAGTTTTCATTCAGACACCTGACCATTGACTTAACCCGAGGTGGGTGTAGTGTAGGCTGTGTTCTGATTGTGTTCTCTTAAAGGAGGAAGAGGAAGAGGAAAAGGCTGTTTGGAGTCTTTATGATAGGAAAGTCAAGGTGTTATGTGCATTAGGCCCTAAGGGGTGAGGTGAGTGAGCTCTATAGAACTCAGGGAACTGACTTCAAGGGGTGGGGTGACGGTTGTATAACAGTTTTAAAAACATTTCAAGAAAACGGTCTAAACCAGCCTTATAGGAGTCTGGGAATGTTGATAATAATATTAAACCATAATTGAAATATATACTCTTACTAAAAGGGTGATATTGAATGTTTATACACAAGATAAATTGAGAAAAGTGTTCTTGCATATGCAAAGTTCCCATTTGAGTTCAATTTGTCCATGATAATTGATTCATATTGAAGTGAAACGGCCCGCTCACACAGAAATCCAGCACCTGAAACAGATAGTTGGGAAAGACATTGGGCTGTAGATTTCACACTTGAAAGCAAGGAGAAAAACGTTTGTGTTTATTAGTTTCTCAGAGCAGAAAGTGGGCTCCCTTCCACCACCTGGTGGACAGGGACTGTAACTGCAGCCTAACAGCTCTACAGCTCTTTTACTTGACTTACATTTACATTTACATTTTAGTCATTTAGCAGACGCTCTTATCCAGAGCGACTTACAGTTAGTGAATACATATTTTTTTATACTGGCCCCCCGTGGGAATCGAACACACAACCCTGGCGTTGCAAACGCCATGCTCTATCAACTGAGCTACATCCCTGTCGGCCATTCCCTCCCCTACCCTGGATGACGCTGGGCCAATTGTGCGCCGCCCATGAGTCTCCCGGTCGCGGCCGGCTGCGACAGAGCCTGGATTCGAACCAGGATCTCTAGTGGCACAGTTAGCACTGCGATGCAGTGCCTTAGACCACTGCTGTGTGTTATTGCTTTCTGGTGGATCTGAGAGGTCAGTGAGTCATAATGTATCTACATGGAATCACCTGGTTCATATAAAGGTTTAATAAGAAAATAACAACCGATTCTCTCTCTTTCAGGAGGCAGTCAGTCGAGCATGAACGACGACTGCGGCTCGCCCGGCTCCTCTGTCTCCTCTTCGTCCTGCACTCCTCTCATGACGCCCACATCCAATGGGCCAGACGTGATGGGTGGCTTTGAACCCGACGCGGCCGACGTGGCTCTGTCCAGCGTGCCCGGCCAGGACGCCTTCGACCCCCGCAGACACCGCTTCAGTGAGGACGAACTCAAACCACAGCCCATGATCAAGAAGGCCCGCAAGATGCTGGTGCCAGCAGACCTCAAGGTTGGTAGTCAGAGAGTAGGTAGAAGCATTAAGAGTTGGTAGAAGTTGTCCCTGACCTCTGGTCCAGGGTCAGATCATTTTCTACAAGGTAATGTCAGTAGCACTATATCTAACGGTGTCTCCCTCTTTCAGGATGATAAGTACTGGTCCCGGCGGTGTAAGAACAACGAAGCAGCCAAGCGTTCTCGTGACGCACGGCGCTTGAAGGAAAACCAGATCTCGGTCCGCGCCGCCTTCCTGGAGAGAGAGAACCAGGCACTCAGACAGGAAGTGGCTGACATGAGGAAGGAGCTCGGTCGCTGCCGCAACATTCTCAACAAATATGAGAATCGCCATGGAGACCAGTGAAGAAGAGGAGGAGAAAGAGAAGGAACTGATGGGTGGAATGGGGCGACATGATGATGATGACAATGATGATGATGATGAATGTATGAGACGATGAGAAGGGTGATATAAAGAAGCTCAGGTGTCACATTTTGATGATGTCAGAGTGGGCAGGGTTAAAGGTTAGGGACAGGGAGGATTGTTGCCCCTTTAGACGAAAGAAGAAAAGACGTGACTTTGAGGATTTTGATATCGGAGAATTGTATATTTTTATATTACTGAAATAAGGCTAGAGGGGGAGCAAATTTTGGAAATAATTTTTGTATATTTTCTATATGAATGGGAAAGATGTAAGATATGGAGGGCTATGACAAAATATCTTTTTAAAGTAGATTGATATAGGAGATGCTATTTTAGAGGTGGTCAGGTGTTAGACAGGATTCAGAGTCAGGGACTGGGAGGTGAGGCGGCCATTTTAAACTGTAAAATAGAGAGCAAAATGATTTTAAAATTGTACAGTTCAACATTTCTTTGTGGATTTTACTCAAGCACTTAATTTGTTTTCTTTGTTGTGTTTCTAAATGATGGGGTTTGGGCTGAAATGGCAAGAAAGTGAAAGAGGGAGAGAGAGAGAGAGAAATGGGAGAAACACTATTAACCCAGCACAATCTTCAGCACTTGTCCTGTGTTTGTGCTTGTAAATAACAAGTCATTGATATTGTCACAACTTTTGCAACCTTTACTAACAGTTTGGACTGTTTAGTAGTTGTCTAGATGTCTGGGCTTTGGTGCAACAGCTCTCACATTTGATTATAGCTGCACTATCTTCTCTGTCATATAGAGAATTGTATTATGTGACCCTAAGACAAGCAGGGCATTCAATGACACTACAGCTAATGGAAGGGGCGACTGTTAGTTTTTATTATGTATACTATGAACTCATATTGCTGAGCCCTTGGCCATCTCTCCCGCTCGCTCTCTTTCTGTCACTTTTTGTCCTTTTGGATTGCTGTCAGTTCTAACTGCTGGGTTGGTAGGATTTTTTAGTTGTTCTGTTGCCCCAGGTTACAGTGGACCGTTTTGATCTTCTCTGCGTTGTGATGTTTTCTTCCTTCCTATGTTTTTTTTATCTAATTGATCCAATCCCAGCACCGGTTAATGTCACTTACAACCAATCCCGAAAAGGCTACTTTTACCTTTAACCAATCCCAACAACCGGTCTCTGTGGTTGTAGATTGTATACATAATACCACAATGTCTTCACACCCTCCTAAATAGTCCACAAACTACCCAGGAAAAAGCACACTTGTGTTACTGTACTATATTAATGATTTTAGTTAGCATTCTTATATTATTGGTAGAAGATAAATATTGTCTATATTGAATATACCAGTTTGTTTATTTTACATAGGTATATGCTAAGTGTGAATGTTGCAGAGATTAGATGCGTGTATGACTGCGTATATGCAAATGTATTCCAGGAGATGGGGTTTGTGGTAGGGTGTCATGTCAAATTATACCCTATTCCCCCCCTATACCTAGGGAATAGGTTATAATTTGAGATTATGCTATTATTACTCTCTCCGTCGATCGGAATGGTGTTAAATTCTCAGATTTCTGGGACTAATAAAAAAGCCAAAATTTAAAAATGTTGATTTATTAAGGTTGTTGATACTTTCTGTCATTTTTCCAGCATTTCTGTGTTGTTGAGCATCGTCTTAGTATCCACATAGTGTCATGGTTCACGACGGACTCACTAAACCCAGGGGAGAAAAAGGTCCCAGTCAACCCAGTGATAGTGTTCTTCTTTTCCTCAACGACCATGTTATAAATAACTACCATTACTATTATTATTGTTATTATTATGATGATTGTTACCCCCTTTTAATGTTGCCGTTATATATAATTGAATGATTTTATTTCTTTGGATGAACATGATCTGTTGCGTTTTGAAGCATCTTTGATCTCAAGCTACCCTCACAGAGAGACTATTCAGAAATGTATCCTTGTTTTTATGTCACTTCCTGCCCTGCACCATGTACATCCTGTTTTGGCCCCTCGAGGTCCGCTGGTTTATTCATAACCCCTACGGACAGTTTCTATCCGGACTTCTCTGAAACACAGTTTCCCAGAGGATGGCGGCCATCTTGGTTTCTCTGTTGATCATGGATTCCACAATCTCGCTGGCTCATCTCATACCTGGAGAATGACAGTGGTAGAATCCCATTCACTTCTGACTGTACAGGTCTGTTCAGTTCTCTAGCTGTGTATAGACTATGCACACTAGCCACAGTTTTCCTCCTGGTTTTCTGCAGCCTATTTTCACCTCAGTGACTGTACGTATGCTCTCCCAACTGGATGTTGTTCCTAATCTCCCTGACGTGGATGATGATAATTCTTATAGTGACTTTTATTGAACTACAACTACCCATCTGCACCAGTGGTGTCCACTGTTCCAGCCCACTCAGTGCTGGTAATGGGGATGTAGTCAAACTTTCCCGAAAACACAAATAAAAGATTGTTCTTACTTACTGCTTGTCTGTTTTCTTTATATTTACTCACATTTTACATTGACATTTTAGTTATTTAGCAGACACTCTTATTCAGAGCGACTTACATGAGTGCATTCATCTTAAGATACACTATATAGACAAAAGTATGTGGACACCCCTTCAAATTAGTGGATTTGGCTATTTCAGCCACACCCGTTGCTGACAGGTGTATAAAAATGAGCACACAACCATGCGATCTCCATAGACAAACATTGGCAGTAGAATGGCCTTACTGAAGAGCTCAGTGACTTTCAACGTGGCACCGTCATAGGATGCCACCTTTCCAACAAGTCAGTTCGTCAAATTTCTCCCCTGCTAGAGCTGTCCCGGTCAATTGTAAGTCCTGTTATTGTGAAGTGGAAAGGTCTAGGAGCAACAACAGCTCAGCCGCGAAGTGGTAGGCCACACAAGCTCACAGAATGGGTCTGCTGAGTGCTGAAGCGTGTAGCGCGTAAAAATCGTCTGTCCTCGGTTGCAACACTCACTACCGAGTTCCAAACTGCCTCTGGAAGCAATGTCAGCACAAGAACTGTTCGTCGGGAGCTTCATTAAATGGGTTTCCATGGCCGAGCAGCCGCACACAAGCCTAAGATCACCATTCGCAATGCCAAGCATCGGCTGGAGTGTTGTAAAGCTGGAGCAGTGGAAACGCGTTCTCTGGAGTGAGGAATCATCTTCACCATCTGGCAGTCCGACGGACAAATCTGGGTTTGGCGGATGCCAGGAGAACGCTACCTGCCCCAATGCATAGTGCCAATTGTAAAGTTTAGTGGAGGTGGAATAATGGTCTGGGGCTGTTTGGGTGGCAAGGGTGGGTGGTTGTGTATTTAGGTGGCTTAAGGTGAACTAGATGTTTGTGGCTTAAAGGAAAGCAAGTATTTTATCAGTGTTAATAGCATTGTTTGTAATCATAAAGTGCTTTGAAAGGCTGGTCATGGCACACATCAACTCCATCATCCCAGTCACCCTAAAAACCCACTCCAATTTGCATACTGCCTCAACAGATCTACAGATGATACCATTTCAGTTGTACACACTGCCCTGTCCCACATGGGTGTTCATCGACTACAGCTAAGTGTTCAACACCATAGTGCCCTCATCACCAAGCTCGGGACCCTGGGACTGAACACCTCCCTCTGCAACTGGATCCTGGAATTCCTGACGGGCTACCCCCATGTGGTGAGAGTAGGTAACAACACCTCCACCACGCTGACCCTCAGGACACGCTGCCAGGACAACAACCTCTCCCTCAACATCAGCAAGACCAAGGAGTTGATCGTGGACTACAGGAAACAGGGGGGCCACCCACATCAACAGGGCTGTAGTGGACAGGGTCAAGAGCTTCAAGTTCCTCTTTGTCCACATCACTGAGGACTTAACATGGTCCCCTCACACCAGCACAGTTGTGAAGAAGGCACTGCAGTGCCTCTTCTCCCACAGAAGGCTGAAACGATTTGGCATGGCCCCTCAGATCACAAGGAACTTTTACAACTGGTTGTAGAACTGTCTGGTATGGCAACTGCACCGCCCTCGACCGGAAGGCCCTACAGAGGGTGGTACAGACGGCCCAGTGTATCATTGGGGGCGAGCTCCCAGCCATCCAGGACGTACACTATCTGTCTGAGAAAAGCCCAAAAAATTGTCAAAGACTCCAGCCAACCGAGACATGGGCTGTTCTCCATGCTCACGTCCGGCAGACGGTACCGGTGCATCAAGGCCCAGACCAACAGACTCCTAAACAGCTTCTACCCCCTGGCCATAAGACTGTTAAATGGCTAACAACTACACACCTACACTGCTGCTAAAATCATTATTGATTAGATTTATTACTACCTGCTGCTGTTCATTGATTATTGTTTGCCATTACCATTAGTATTTATCTATTTATCCTGTTACCTGTCACTATTACTCCTGTTTACATGTTCATATTACCGTTAGTATATTACCATAAGTATTTGTATATTCCTACTACCAGTCACTTTTCAGCCCTGTTTACATGTATATCCTACTACCAGTCACTTTTCAGCCCTGTTTACATGTATATCCTAATACTAGTCACTTTTCAGCCCTGTTTACATGTATATCCTGTTACCAGTCACTTTTCAGCCCTGTTTACATGTATATCCTACTACTAGTCACTTTTCAGCCCTGTTTACATGTATATCCTACTACCAGTCACTTTTCAGCCCTGTTTACATGTATATCCTACTACCAGTCACTTTTCAGCCCTGTTTACATGTATATCCTACTACCAGTCACTTTTCAGCCCTGTTTACATGTATATCCTACTACCAGTCACTTTTCAGCCCTGTTTACATGTATATCCTACTACCAGTCACCTTTCAGCCCTGTTTACATGTATATCCTACTACTAGTCACTTTTCAGTCCTATTTACATGTATATCCTACTACCAGTCACTTTTTAGCCCTGTTTACATGTACATCCTCCTACTAGTCACTTTTCAGCCCTGTTTACATGTATATCCTACTACTAGTCACTTTTCAGCCCTGTTTACATGTATATCCTACTACCAGTCACTTTTCAGCCATGTTTACATGTATATCCTACTACCAGTCACTTTCTAGCCCTGTTTACATGTATATCTTACTACCAGTCACTTTTCAGCTCTGTTTACATGTATATCCTGTTACCAGTCACTTTTCAGCCCTGTTTACATGTATATCCTACTACCAGTCACTTTTCATTCCTGTTTACATGTATATCCTACTACCAGTCACTTTTCAGCCCTGTTTACATGTATATCCTACTGCTAGTCACTTTTCAGCCCTGTTTACATGTATATCCTACTACCAGTCACTTTTCTGCCCTGTTTACATGTATATCCTACTACCAGTCACTTTTCAGCCCTATTTACATGTATATCCTGTTACCAGTCACTTTTCAGCCCTGTTTACATGTATATCCTACTACCAGTCACTTTTCAGCCCTGTTTACATGCATATCCTACTACCAGTCACTTTTCAGCCCTGTTTACATGCATATCCTACTACCAGTCACTTTTCAGCCCTGTTTACATGTATATCCTACTACCAGTCACTTTTTAGCCCTGTTTACATGCATATCCTACTACCAGTCACTTTTCAGCCCTGTTTACATGTATATCCTACTACCAGTCACTTTTAAGCCCTGTTTACATGTATATCCTACTGCTAGTCACTTTTCAGCCCTGTTTACATGTGTATCCTACTACCAGTCACTTTTCAGCCCTGTTTACATGTATATCCTACTACTAATCACTTTTCAGCCCTGTTTACATGTATATCCTACTACCAGTCACTTTTCAGCCCTGTTTACATGTATATCCTGTTACCAGTCACTTTTCAGCCCTGTTTACATGTATATCCTACTACCAGTCACTTTTCAGCCCTGTTTACATGTATATCCTACTACTAGTCACTTTTCAGCCATGTTTACATGTATATCCTACTACTAGTCACTTTTCAGCCCTGTTTACATGTATATCCTACTACCAGTCACTTTTCAGCCCTGTTTACATGTATATCCTACTACTAGTCACTTTTCATTCCTGTTTACATGTATATCCTCCTACCAGTCACCTTTCAGCCCTGTTTACATGTATATACTACTACTAGTCACTTTTCAGCCCTGTTTACATGTATATCCTACTACCAGTCACTTTTCAGCCCTGTTTACATGTATATCCTGGTACCAGTCACTTTTCAGCCCTGTTTACATGTATATCCTACTACTAGTCACTTTTTATGTTTAAACCACCTCAACCCCTCCACTACCGCTACACACTGAATAAGGTGCTGGCACTGACCTGTATATATATATTTGCATTCTTGTGTTTCTTCAACTTATATCCTACTTCTTGTGTTTTTTAAATTATATTATTATTATTATTATTATTACTGCATTGTTGGGAAATAATTTCACTGTACTGTTTTACACCTGCTGTGTCCTGTGCATGTGGCGAATCAACTGTGAAACTTGGAACTTCTAACCTGTTTACTCTTGATGGGATGTCCTGTCGCCACTTGATAGATTGAACTAAAACTCAACAATGTAATGTGGTGAAACAGCAGTCCCCATGAGACTTCATTTAGTTTCACATAGCTAACATTCTCTAATCAAGCCAGATAGTCCAAACATGCATGGTTCAGTGCTGGGGCGTTGTGTTTTTGGCCAAATATAAAAACAAGACAATTCCTTAATGTATCACATCTCCCCCTTACACACACATTGTTTTGGATGGATGTGCTTTGTGGTCACTTGTTATAATAATAACAATAATAATATGAATAATAATAATCATATAATAATAAAAATGATATGATATTAATTATTATCAAAATATGTATTTTCTTTCAATGTAAAAAAATGATACAGACAGAAGACTATAGTAGTAACTGTAAAACTGTATAGTCTTTCTTTGATTGTAACGCTGTTGAAGTGACTCAATAAAAACAACTGTCCAACAGAGATGACATCAGAAGATGTCCATGGACCTTTATCATTGTGGGTGTGTGTGTTATCTGGCTCAGGTAATAATAATAGAACCTGTAACTGTTTGATCTGTAGACCCTGTTGATTACAGGTGTGTGTGTGTGTCTTTGTATGTGTGTGAGTGGGACACTGGTAATGTCAGCTGCTCTATTTGACCCCTTGACCCCCTTCTCTCAGCTCTATCAACATAAATGGGTGAAAGGTCATTTACAATGGAATTTTGCACCGCGTTCTAAACACTCAACGCAAACCAGATGTGTGTTCCCGGGCTGTACCTTATCCCTCCCTCTCGCCCCCCTTTTCCCCTTTGTTCCCATCTCCCCAAAATGTTCTGTTTCCTGTTGTGCCTCCTTCATAACGGCTGAGACCAGGGTCAGGGCTGGAAGGATGGACTCTGTGCTGTTGCTGCTGTCGCTGTGGGCTCTGGCTGGCTCTGTGTCTCTGCAGACTGCAGGTAAGTTCAGCTCAGACCTCCTCTATCTCTCTCTCACACACATTGTCTATGACACTATGTAACTGTATGTGATGCCTAGACAGAGCTTGTCACACCTAGGCTGAGCTGGGCTTTGATTTGGCCCTTGGATAAATTAGTAAATCTGTTGATTATTTCAGATCATTTAAAAATCTAGAGCTTGCATTTGATTTTCAATGAGTGTACTGTATATTTAATATTTTTTCCTGTCTTTGTTTTATTGACATAGGTTGTTTTTTGGTTGTGTGTTATGGTTGGGGCATGCTGATACACTCCTGACTCTACAAACTTATTGGATGCATTTGCAGTTTGTTTTGGTTGTGTTTTGCACAAAGATCATGCCTACAAAACATACTAACCTCTCAGAGGTTAGCATTCTTTGGGGGGTATGATATTTACTGTAACTTTCTCACTCATCCTAATTCATGATTTTTCACAATCATGGTAGCATCCACATTAATGTAAAAGTGTTCAGAAACAAATACTATTCTTATTTACAATAAAAGTTACTCCAAAATGACACAATACATTATTTGGCATTCATTTACAGTGGGGAAAAAGTATTTAGTCAGCCACCAATTGTGCAAGTTCTCCCACTTAAAAAGATGATAGAGGCCTGTAATTTTCATCATAGGTACACGTCAACTATGACAGACAAATTGAGGAAAAAAAATCCAGAAAATCACATTGTAGGATTTTTAATGAATTTATTTGCAAATGATGGTGGAAAATAAGTATTTGGTCACCTACAAACAAGCAAGATTTCTGGCTCTCACAGACCTGTAACTTCTTTAAGAGGCTCCTCTGTCCTCCACTCGTTACCTGTATTAATGGCACCTGTTTGAACTTGTTATCAGTATAAAAGACACCTGTCCACAACCTCAAACAGTCACACTCCAAACTCCACTATGGCCACGACCAAAGAGCTGTCAAAGGACACCAGAAACAAAATTGTAGACCTGCACCAGGCTGGGAAGACTGAATCTGCAATAGGTAAGCAGCTTGGTTTGAAGAAATCAACTGTGGGAGCAATTATTAGGAAATGGAAGACATACAAGACCACTGATAATCTCCCTCGATCTGGGGCTCCACGCAAGATCTCACCCCGTGGGGTCAAAATGATCACAAGAACGGTGAGCAAAAATCCCAGAACCACACGGGGGGACCTAGTGAATGACCTGCAGAGAGCTGGGACCAAAGTAACAAAGCCTACCATCAGTAACACACTACGCCGCCAGGGACTCAAATCCTGCAGTGCCAGACGTGTCCCCCTGCTTAAGCCAGTACATGTCCAGGCCCGTCTGAAGTTTGCTAGAGTGCATTTCGACTGATCCGTGTAAAGGAAAGAATGAATGGGGCCATGTATCGTGAGATTTTGAGTGAAAACCTCCTTCCATCAGCAAGGGCATTGAAGATGAAACGTGGCTGGGTCTTTCAGCATGACAATGATCCCAAACACACCGCCCGGGCAACGAAGGAGTGGCTTCGTAAGAAGCATTTCAAGGTCCTGGAGTGGCCTAGCCAGTCTCCAGATCTCAACCCCATAGAAAATCTTTGGAGGGAGTTGAAAGTCCGTGTTGCCCAGCGACAGCCCCAAAACATCACTGCTCTAGAGGAGATCTGCATGGAGGAATGGGCCAAAATACCAGCAACAGTGTGTGAAAACCTTGTGAAGACTTACAGAAAACGTTTGACCTGTGTCATTGCCAACAAAGGGTATATAACAAAGTATTGAGAAACTTTTGTTATTGACCAAATACTTATTTTCCACCATAATTTGCAAATAAATTCATAAAAAATCCTACAATGTGATTTTCTGGATTTTTTTTCTCATTTTGTCTGTCATAGTTGACGTGTACCTACGATGAAAATTACAGGCCTCTCTCATCTTTTTAAGTGGGAGAACGTGCACAATTGGTGGCTGACTAAATACTTTTTTCCCCCACTGTATGTTGGGCGTAACATAATCCAAAACACAACCAAAACAAACTGCAAATGCATTCAACAAGTTTGTAGAGTCACAAGCTTGATGTAGTCATTGCATGCTAGGAATATGGGACGGAATACTGAACTAAATGTAATACACTTTAAGTGAATACCTTTTTTTTCTCTGCTCTGCTGATGACTATTTTCCCCCGCTCATACAGAAGTAATAATTGTGTGTATTATTATTATTAATTAATTAAAATGTTCACCCTCAGGACCTCTACTTCCCGCAGCTATGGTAGGGGAGTGTACTGCAGGTGTATGAGAGCCAATGTGTGTGTATGTGTGTGTTTGCACAGTTGTGTGTGTCCCCCTGTGTCCGCCTGTGTGTACAGTATATGAATGTATGCCGTTGATTGGTCACACATGTGCAGCTGTCAGCATGAGAGAACACGAGTTGGGGGACCCCTCTATTCCTCTCCCTCTCCCCCTCTCTCTCTGTTCCAGATGTGATGTATATTAAGGGCGTGTCTTTCTCTCTCTCTCTCTCTCTCTCTCTCTCTCTCTCTCTCTCTCTCTCTCTCTCTCTCTCTCTCTCTCTCTCTCTCTCCTCTCTCTCTCTCTCTCTCTCTCTCTCTCTGTGTGTGTGTGTGTGTGTGTGTGTGTGCTGGGCTACAGTCCATGATGTGTTGAGAATATGAATTAATTATGTGTTTTATGTTAAACACATGGAAGGAAAATACAGTGGATTCCTAGGAAGAGATGGAATCATAGAACTAGATGTCCAAATTGGAATCAGATTTAGGCCCCTATTCAATCAAACTATAACCAGGTTTACATTCTGCACAGCACTGTAACCTTTGCTCACCTGAGTACATGAATCCCTACAAATGTGCCAGAAGAAAATTGTCCTCTTTGAAAACCTGGGTACCAGGTTTGATAGAAAAAAAGTCCCTATCTGATTCACACTTCAGTTTCCATTTCCATTCTGATTTCATGTTCCCACCTCTCCATTTCTCTCTCCTGGCCAATGTACTCAATTCCAGGTCTGATCTGGTTAATCTATCTACAGTGCCTTCAGAAAGTATTCATACCTCTTGACTTATTCCAGGTTTCTAGAAATGTTAGCAAATTTATTGAAAATTAAATACAGAAATGTCTCATTTACATAAGTATTCACACCCCTGAGTCAATACGTTAGAGTTAGAATCACCTTACAGCTGTGAGTCTTTCTGGGTAAGTCTCTAAGAGCTTTGCACACCTGGATTGTACAATATTTGCACATTATTATAACAAGTTGGTTGTTGATCATTGCTAAACAGTCATTTTCAAGTCTTGCCATAGATTTTCAAGCCGATTTAAGTCAAAACGTTAACTAGGCCACTCAGAAACATTAGATGTCGTCTTGGTAAGCAACTCCAGTGTATATTTGTCTTTGTGTTTTAGGTTATTGTCTTGGTGAAAGGTGAATTTGTCTCCCAGTGTCTGTTGGAAAGCAGACTGAAACAGGTTTTCCTCTAGGATTTTGCCTGTGCTTAGCTCTATTCTGTTTATTTTTTATTCAAATAAACTCCCTAGTCCTTGATGATGACAAGCATACACATAACATGATGCAGCCACCACCATGCTTGAAAATATGAAGAGTGGTACTCAGTGATGTGTTGTGTTGGATTTGCCCCAACCATAATGCTTTGTATTCAGGACAAAAAGTTAATTTCATAAAGTTATTTTGCAGTTTTACTTTAGTGCCTTATTGCAAACAGGATGTATGTTTGGAATATTTGTATTCTGTACAGGCTTCCTTCTTTACAATGTTGTTGATCCATCCACAGTTTTCTCCTATCACAGCCATTCAACTCTGTAACTGTTTTAAAGTCACCATTGGCCTCATGGTGAAATCCCTGAGCGGTTTCCTTCCTCTCTGGCAACTGAGTTAGGAAGGACGCCTGTATCTTTGGAGTGACTGGGTGTATTGATACACCACCCAAAGTGTAATGAATAACTTCACCATGCTCAAAGGGATATTCAATGTTGGCTTTTTTTAAAACCCATCTACCAATAGGTGCCCTTCTTTGTGAGGCATTGGAAAACCTCCCTGGTCTTTGTGGTTGAATCTGTGTTTGAAATTCACTGCTCGACTGAGGGACCTTACAGATAATTGTATGTGTGGGGTACAGAGATGGGGTAGTCATTCAAAAATCATGCTAATAAACACCATTATCGCACACAGAGTTAGTCCATGCAACTTATTATGTGACTTGTTAAGCAAATGTTTATTCCTGAAGTTATTTAGGCTTGCCGTTACCAAGGGGTTGAATACTTGACTCAAGACATTTCAGCTTTTCATTTTTAATTAATTTGTAAAAATGTCTAAAACATAATTCCACTTTGACATTATGGGGTATTGTGTGTAGGCCAGTGACACAAATTGAATCAATTTTAAATTCAGGCTGTAACTCAACAAAATGTGGAAAAAGTCAAGGGGTGTGAAAACCTTCTGAAGGCCCTATACATAATATAGGAGTATTCAACTGGCGGTCCGCGGAGGTAATGCATGCGGTCTGCAAAAAATATATGATTAATAATAATAATAATATATATATTCTCTCAATGTTTTTATTAATATTGCTAGCAACAACAGAATAAACACATTTTGAATTACATATCAACAGTAGAAAAGAGGAGAATATCTTCTTTCTAATGATGTCAACTTTATTTCTCAACTCCTAATATTGAGGGGAAAATATATATGATTGGAGCCAATTACGCTGGAGTATCTGACATAGGCTTTGAAAAAGCACCCGTGAATAGGCTACTGGTGTGGCAAGTGCCGCTGGCTGCTGGTAAGCTTACTTGACTTGGACACCCATTTTTGCCAACACATGGCTAACCTTTGTTTAACCAGCTAAACAGCTGCTCTTAGCGAAAATGTGTTTGGAGTTACTTATAGGCTATGTTAGAGTTTACACTTCCTCTTCCAATTATAATGTGGGGAGGTCAAAATAATGAAACACTATCTACCAAATCTATTCATTTTAAAATGTTGATTACTTCTCCTTGCCGTTATCATTCACCTGATGATAAGACAAGACGTGATTTTTTTGGGGGGGCTAACGTATGATGGGGGTCCCTGGGTTGCCAGTTTGCCTGGGAGGGGGTCCCTGGGCAAGAAAAGGTTGAAGACCCCTGACATAATATGGTAATATATGCCATTTAGTAGACACTTTTATCCAAAGTGACTTAAAGTAATGCGGACATAAAAAAGCTTTCTCATTTGGGTGGTCCCGGGAATCAAACCCACCACCCTTACATTGCAATCACCATGCCCTACCAACTGAGCTAGATGACCACATCACTCCACTTCTGTCTCTCTCCTAGTCGAGGCATCTGAGGCGTGTCCAGAGAGGCTGCTGGGTAACGAGCGGAGAAGGACGTGTCCAAAACCCTGTACACAGGACAAGGACTGTGGCAACAAGCGCCAGTGCCTGTGTGACGGCCAGTGTGGCCTCAGCTGTGTGGCTCCAGGTAAGTGTGTGTGTGTTCTGGTTTGTCAGTTGGGTCTCAGCTGCGAGGGACTCTTTTTAAAATCATTGCACATGTTCATGTGTGTTCCAAATGAGGAAATGAGGCACTCGACATGGCTTTACATCATCACCAGTGATGCCCCATCTATAAGTGCCTCCTTTTCAGTTTAGCTGTCCAAAAACGTACTAGGCCCATTCTAAATTGTTCTTGATTATCTTATCTCTCCTCTTCAACCTTTCCACTCCTCCATCTCTTCCTTCCCCAGGTCGTACTTGTCCCTGGCCCCTGCCCTCCGGGAACAACTTTGTTGCTTCCCTCCTCTCTCCCACTCCCTCCTTCTCTGCCCTCCTCGAGGTGCGTTGTGACCCAGGCTACATGTTGCCCAACGGCTTGGATGCAGCCATCCGTCGTTGCCAAGGCGACCGACAATGGAGCAGTGATGATCCCAACTGCACAGGTGGGTACAAGAACAGTGCAGAGAGGCAGAATGTTCTGGATGCAATTTAGATAACATTACCTCTGCTCATTGGAAGGACCCTGGAAATAGGAAAGAGAAAGGGGGATACCTAGTCAGTTGTACAACTGAATGCATTCAACCCAACTGTGTCTTCCGCATTTAACCCAACCCCTTTGAATCAGAGAGGTGCGGGGGGCTGCCTTAATCAACGTCCATGTCATCGGCGCTCGGGGAGCAGATGTTGTTGGGGGGTTAACTGCCTTGCTCAATGGAGTTTACTGGCCCAACGCGCTTAACCGCTACGCTACCTGCCGCCCCCAAAGAATGGAATGGAATGCACATACTGTAGATTGCACAGTGAATGGAATAGAACCCCCTTCTGTTCTATTCAGTCTGTTTCTATCTGTTACATCATGTTCTATTCTATTGATATTTTTTCCCAGAGGTAGCTTTTCACTCTGTCAGGCGTCAGTGTGTAGCGGTAGGACGGAGTCAGGCGCAGGACATAGAGCTAGTAGACAACGTACTTTACTCGTAAATAACAAATGAACATAAACTCCACGCAGGGAGGACAATCCCGCTCACCAGTCGATAACACCAAACATAGAACAAACACGCACACAACACAGTGGGAGCCAGAGGGTTAAATAGGGAACAAATTATAGACATAATGGGAACCAGGTGTGTACAATGAAGACAAAACAAGTAGAACACAGAAACATAGATCGGTAGCAGCTAGTACTCCGGTGACGACGAACGCCGAAGCCTGCCCGAGCAAGGAGGAGGAGCAGCCTCGGCTGAATCTGTGACACACTCTTAGAAAAAAGGGTTCAAAAAGGGTTCTTCAGCTGCCCCCATAGGAGAACCCTTTTTGGTTCCAGGTAGAACCCTTTTGTGTTCCATGTAGAACCCTCTATGGGGCTCTCTATTCTAAGAGTGTATTGGTGAATCAGGAATGAAGGCACTGTGTGTGTGTGTGTGTGTGTTTGTGTGTGTGTGTGTGTGTGGGCGTCTGTGTGTGTGTGTGTCTGTGTGTGAGGTGTGCGTGCGGTGTGTGTGTGTTTATGTGTGTGTGTGTACCTCAGGAATGGGCCTCTGTGATGGTGTTATTTTGTTGGCAGTTTGTCTGCTTGCGTAGACTGAGACATTGTGTAACCAGGGCCCATTCTCTACATTGCCTTAGCAACGGGACTATCAGCTGTTGATACTAGGACTGCAGTCCAGAAAGAGGCAGGGCTTGATTAGTTCACAGTGTGTCCGTGCCAGATAGGGTGAAAGAGCATGTTCTAGTGTTCATCTCCTCCTGGTTGTGTTCTTTTAACCTTTATTTAACCTTTGTGTGTTTCAGCGTGTGAGTCAAGTGTGTCTTTTAGGAGTGTGAAGGTCTGCATGAATTTGTGTCCTCTGTGCACTATTGTGTGAGTGTGTGGGTGTGTACTTATAGTGTTATATGTGTGCGTTTGTATGTGTGTGTATGTGTCCGTGTCCCAGTCTCACAGAGCTCCTTCACACAGACTGGCACTAGGTTGGCTGGGTGTCTTCCTGTGTGTATTCGCTACATTTGTCTATGAGTTTATTTGAGCTGTGCTCCTTCGTGCTTATTGCAAGGCAGTGGGCGGTAGATCACTGTCAGAGTGTCAAATAGCTGTGTGTATGTGTGTGTGTTTAAGAGAGAGAGAGAGAGAGAGAGAGAGAGAGAGGAGAGCGAGAGAGAAGAGAGAGAGAGAAGAGAGAAGAGCAGAGAGATCCCCTTTTTCTCTCTCTCTCTCTTCTCTCTATCTTTTCTCTCTTTTCTCTCGTCTCTCTCTCAGCTCTCTTTTTTGCTTCTCTCGTCTCTCTCCCTCCCTCTCCTCTCTCTTTTTTCTCGCTCTCCTCTTCTCCCTCCCTTACTCCCTCTCTCCTTATTTCCTTCTTCTCTCCCTTCCTCTCTTTTCTTTCTCCCTTTCCTTTTTTGGGGGTGGATCACAGATAGAGTTTCAAAGAGCTGTTTGTGTGTGTGTGTGTGATGGTGTGTTTTGTGTGTGTGTGATGTGTGTGGGCGACGGATCACAGTCAGAGAGCTCTCTTGCTCATGCAGCTCTGGGCCATGCTGTTCCCTCTTCTCCTCTCCTCTCTCATCCTCTCTTCCTCTCATCCTCTTCTCCTCTCATCCTTTTCCATCTGAGAGGCCCCTGATAAGGTCTCTCCCCTCAGAGAGAGCCAAGGACAAGCAAACAGCTCTGGGCTATTTACTGTGTTTGTTTGGTGAAGCAGAACTGGGCTGTAGAGAGAAGTGTGCAGTGTATGTGTGTGTGTGTGTGTGTGTGTGTGTGTGTGTGTGTGTGTGTGTGTGTGTGTGTGTGTGTGTGTGTGTGTGTGTGGTGGACTTGATTGGGAAAGAGGTGCACAGCTTTGGCTACCTGGTCATCTAGGGACATCTCTCTGCTTTCACTACCACTCCTTTAAGACAGATGTACCTGTCAGGCAGCAGTAGTTTCACACTGGGCCCTGGCTGTGTGTAAGGCAGGCAGGCAAGCAGGCAGGCAGGCAGTAGGCAGGCAGGCAGGCAGGTAGGCAGGCAGGTAGGCAGGTAGGTAGGCAGGCAGGCAGGCAGGCAGGAGGCAGGCAGGCAGGCAGGCAGGCAGGCAGGCAGGCAGGTAGGCAGGCAGGCAGGGAGGAAGGGAGGCTGGAGAGCACAGAGAAGAGGGCCACAGTTAGAACACTGAACCAACCCAGCTCCAGGCACACACACACACTCCCCATACAGCCACACACTCAACTCACTCACCCCGCTCATACTTAGTTACACACAGGATTTATATAGCTACGTCTAGGATTAGATATGTTTCAAAAACACTCAGTAAACGGACCCCTTTTGATGTTGCTCATGTGTGTCTAAGGGAGAGTTTTACACAGAAGAGAGCCTCTCTCTACCTGCTGTAGTTAGTCTGCATTTCAAACTACCCATCCAACATCCCTCCCTATAAATCTGAGGTCACTTCAACACCTCTACAAAGAGCCTCTCTTGATATTTATATTTCCATGAACGAGAGGCACTCATACTTCCAGGAATGAGCAATCCATGCGGTTATACAACTAATGCTGCATCTCTCTCTTTCTCTCTTTCTCAGTTTCTCTCTCTCTCTGTCTCTCTCTCTCTCACTCTCTCTCTCTCTCTCTCTCTCTCTCTCTCTCTCTCTCCCGCCTCGATCCTCCTCCCGTCTCTCCTCTCTCTCTCTCTCTCTCTCTCTCTCTCTCTCTCTCTCTCTGCAGCAGTATGCATGCTTATCAGCTAGTTACAATCATCTATTTTCAGATTCCTTTTTTCCACGGAGGATATTCATTTTCCTGACTCATAGCTACGACTACCTGCAACACCTATAACCTACAGAGGTTATTGTTATATGAGTGACCTGGCCAGTTAAAGGGACATGTGAGGTGTTGACCGCTATGTATCCTGAAGAGGAGTCCCCCCCCCATTCCACTAATCCCTGTTTACTGTGTTTCCTTCTCTCAATCCCATAATTCACATTAGCTACACACTGCTCTGTGTGTGTGTGTGTGTGTGTGTGTGTGTGTGTGTGTGTGTGTGTGTGTGTGTGTGTGTGTGTGTGTGTGTGTGTGTGTGTGTGTGTGTGTGTGTGGCTGTGTGTCTGTGTGTGTATTTGTGTGTTGTTGTGTTGTGTTCCTGTTTTTTCTATTAATTCTGTTATGCACATTAGTTACATGCTGATATGTGCGTGTGTGTGTGTCTTTCAACAATGTGTGTGTTTCTGTATGTGTGTAGGCTATGAATCGCATTATAGGCACCAGCAGTGAATGACATACAGTGCCTTCAGAAAGTATTCACACCCCTTGACTTTTTCCACATTTTGTTGTTACAAAGTGGGATTAAAATTGATTTAATTGTCATTTTTTGTCAACGATCTACTTAAAATACTCTGTAATGTCGAAGTGCTTTGCAAATCTGGGTAAATCTCTAAGAGCTTTGCAAACCTGGATTGTACAGTATTTACCCATTATTTTTAAAATTCTTCAAGCTCTGTCGACTTCGTTGTTGATCATTGCTAGACAGTCATTTTCAAGTCTTGCCATAGATTTTTAAGCCGATTTCAGTCAAAACTGTAACTAGGCCACTTAGGAACATTCAATGTCGTCTTGGTAAGCAACTCCAGTGTATAATTGGACTTGCGTTTTAGGTTATTGTCCAGTTGAAAGGTGGATTTGTCTCCCAGTGTCTGTTGAAAAGCAGATTGAACCAGGTTTTCCTCTCGGACTTTGCCTGTGCTTAGCTCTATTCATTTTCTTTTTATTCTAAAAAACTCCCTAGTCCTTGATGATGACAAGCATACCCATAACATGATGCAGCCACCACCATGCTTGAAAATATGAAGAGGGGTACTCAGTGATGTGTTGTGTTGGATTTGCCCCAAACATAATGCTTTGTATTCATAACAAAATTGTAATTTCTTTGCCACATTTATTGCAGTGTTACTTTAGTGCCTTATTGCAAACAGGATGCATGTTTTTGGAATATTTTGATTCTGTACAGGCTTTCTTATTTTCCCTCTGTCATTTAGGTTAGTATTGTGGAGTAACTACAATGTTGTTGAGCCATCCTCAGTTTCCTCCTATTACAACCATTTAACTCTGTAACTGTTTTAAAGTCACCATTGGCCTCATGGTGAAATCCCTGAGCGGTTTCCTTCCTCTCCGGCAACTGAGTTAGGATGGACTGCTGTATCTTTGTAGCTACTGGGTGTATTGATACACCATCCAAAGTGTAATTCATAACTTCACCATGCTCAAAGGAATATTAAATGTCTGCTTTTTTCATTTTTACCCATCTACCAATAGGTACCCTTCTTTGTGAGGCATTGGAAAACCTCCTTGGTCTTTGTGGTTGAATCTGTTTTTGAAATTCACTGCTCGACTGAGGGACCTTACAGATAATTGTATGTATGGGGTACAGAGATGAGGTAGTCATTCAAAAATCATGTTAATAAACACCATTATTGCACACAGAGTGAGTCCATGCAACTTATTATGTGACTTGTTAAGCAAATGTTTACTCCTGAAGTTATTTAGGCTTGCCATAACAAAGGGGTTGAGTACTTATTGACTTAAGACCTTTAAGCTTAGATTTTTTAAAATTAATTAGCAAACATTTCTAAAAACATATTCCACTTTGACATTATGGGGTATTGTGTGTAGATCAGTGACACAAAATCTAAATCTAATCAATTTTAAATTTTAAATTGAAACATAACAGGTCAAGGGGTGTGAATACTTTCTGAAGGCACTGCAAAACATCATCAGCACCGTGTGTGTGTGTGTATGTGTGTGTGTGTGTGTCTGAGTGGGTGTGTGTGTCTGAGTGTGTGTGTGTGTGTAAACCTATTGACTCAATTGAACAGAATGTACAAATGTGTTTTGTTACAGATGTTTTGTCCTTAATCATGTGAAAATGCTGTTCTCCCTTTTCCTCCCCCTCTCTCTGATCCTCTCTCATTTCTTCTTAACCTCTTTTCCCCTCTCTTCCACCCTTCTCTTCCCCCCTCCCTCCCTCATGTGCTTCTACATCTGCCCCCTCTGTAGCCCCCACTTCCCCCCAGGTCTCATGTCCTTTACCTGAGGAGGTGACCGACACCTTCAGCATCCATGGATCCTGCAGTCGCTGGAACAACCATTCGCTACACTGTTCTGTCTGGGGGAGATATGTATGGATAGTAGTGAGGGATGGGAGGGAGGAGGGAGGAGAGAATGTAGGGAATTAGAACACGAGCGGTTGGACGAGTCACAGGTGGGAGAGCGAGAGACCGGATTATAGTTTGAGACAGAAAGATTATCATCTCATATACCCATATATCTATCTCGACTCTCTATCTCTTCCTAATCTCTCGAATATCTCTCTCTCTCTCTCTCTACTCTACTCTGATCCTCTCTCGTCGTCTTTCTCGCTCTCTCTTCTCTTTCTTTGCCCCCATCCTCATTTCCTTTTTCTACTTTTATTCCTCCCCCCGTAGAGAGATAGAATTGGTGGTTAATGCGAGGAACTGTATCATTATGTACGAAGACTTGAGACTGAGGCTTTCTAATTATTACTGTTGTTAACTAGGCCATTAATGCACTTTTTACTGACTCACATCTAATAATGTATCACATCCGAATGCGTATGTCAGTTGGAATCATGTATCGTATTCAAAACACACACCTTCTGAGACAGAGCCAACAGAGAGGTGAACCACTTAGTTTATTACCAGTCAATTAGTCATATAACCACCCTCTCTCCCTCTCACTCTGTATCTCTCTTTCCTTCCCTCCTCTCCTTTCTCTCTCTCCCTACTCTTTCCTCCCTTGCTGCTCCTGTCTCTCTCTCTCTCTCCCTCTCTCTTCCTCCCTCTATCTCTGTCTCTCTTGCTCATCCCCCCCCCCCCCCTCTCCAGGGAGCTGGTGGAAACAGTGAGAATCTCTGTAATATTGACCAGACCTGGCAGTACCCTCACCCCATCTGTCAAAGTAAGTGTGTGTGTTTTATAGTGTATAGTGTTTGATAGAGAGAGCGTGAGCAGGCAAGCAGAGGGAGAGCATCAGAGCCATGGAAAATGATGGTTGGCGTGTGGGTGGATGGATTGGGACTTTTGAGTGTGAGTGTGTGTATGTGTGTTTGTGTGTGTGTATTTTGCGGAGGAGGTTATTGTACTCTGCACTTCTAAATCGTTCTACTTTGTGTGTGTGTGTGTGTCTTTTTTATGTGTGTGAGTGAGAGACTGTAAGGTCAGTTGTTATGTTTCATAGTACTTTACTGCCACCTTCTGGCCTAAACAGAGAATAACATCTCTTGCAAATTCATTCAGCAATGTTCTTCAAACCTGGTCTGGTAAATGTGCATATACAGTGATCTTCTCTCTCCTGTTCCAGGGGTGTGGTGCCCGCCCCCCCAGGAGGTGAACCAGGGGTACCTGGTGGCGGTACAGAGGACTGAGTACGATGTGGGCGATGCCATTTATTACCTCTGTAAGAAGAACCACCTGCTGGATGGACCCAACCCTGGTCACCGTCCTTGCCAACGTCAACCTGGCAGCTTCAGTGGCCTACTTCAGAGTGTAACCACCTTCTAACACCCCCGTTGCCCCCTCTTTATTTTTTTTTATTTCATTTTTTTGTGTATCTTCTCATGCTCTGCTCTTTCTCTCTCTCTCTCTCTCTCTGTCTTCTCTCTCTCTCTCTCTCATCTCTCTCTCTCCCTCTCTTATTTCCTCTTTTCTTCTCTTCCTCCCTCTTTTTTTTCCCCCCCCTTTTCTTCTCCCTCCTCCTTCCCGGGTGTTTCCCTTTCTATTGCTCTTTCTTTGAAACTTTCTGAGTGTAACTGTTTAACTGTATAATAATATTTTATGGTTTCGTTCACTTTTTGTTTTACTATCTACTTCACTTATGCTTTGTTCATGTTTAACACACCAAGCAACACGTTTCCCATGCCAATAAAGCCCCTAAATTTAATTTATTGGAATTGAATTTGAATATTTAGAGAGAATAGAGAGTAGATATATCTATATATACGATATATATATATTCCTTTATCTACTGTGGGATTTTCCGTTAAGTGTCTATTACTCGGTCTCCGTGACTTTGGCATTTCGTTCGGTCCTACTCGTGCGGGAGAGAGAGCCTGGGTCGGGGAGAGAGAGAGAGGATCTCTCGCTCGCTCCTCAGAGAGAGATGCTCTCCCTGAGCGAGCGAAGAGAGGATGAGAGGGAGGTAGAGATGGCGGAGGTGCGAGATCGGAGAGAGAGAGAGAGAGAGAGGAGAGGGAGGGAAGGCGAGGTTCTCAGCTCGGCGCGCGCGCTCTTGCTTCTCTCTTGCTTCGATGGAATGAATATTGACCTTTCTTCTTCTTTATTTGTTCTTCATCCTGTACTTCCTGTTCTTAGCGCGCTGTCCAATCCCAGCGGAGCGGAGCCGTGTTCTGATTGGTGGGCTGAAGCGTTGGCCCTATGACGTGACAGACTCGGTGGTTCCTCACGGGGAGAGGGTGACGTTCTACTGTAAACACTCAAGGAAGCAGTGCAGCTTCCCATACACACAGACCTGCTTCGACGGCAGGCTCAACCCCCCCTTCTGCTACCTGGGTGAGTTGGGACCCCAGAACTGGTGCCCTGTCTACCATTATCTATGGTAAACCCTTGGTGCCTTCCTCGTCTTTCTATGTGACTGTTCAGTGGGCAGGAGACCTCAGGGTTCAGTCAGAGACAGTATGTTTGTATTGTCTTCATTTGATGTAACATGTCTGGCACCTCCCTCCTTCTGTGTCCCAGAACCCACCTGGCTGCAGTACAAACTGTTCCCTCATCGGCTGGTGTCGGAGATCGAAGCCTGCTCCCCTGCAGACCTGGAGTAATACCCCAACAGCCCTATCCCTATCTCCTGTCCCCCTCTCTCTCAGCCTGTACCAATGATAGGCTCTACATGTCTTAATAATATGTGTGTTCATGATAATACATGCATTAATACAGAAGTAAAACATAGTCATAATAATCATTCATATAGTTCAAATGCACAGGAGGTTGGTGGCACCTTAATTGGGGAGAACAAGCTCATGTTAATGATTGGAGCGGATAGGTGGAATGGTATCAAATACATCAAACACATGGTTTCCATTCGATGCCATTCCATTTGCACGGTTCCAGACATTATTATGAGCCGTCCTCCCCTCAGCAGCCTCCTGTGTTCAAATGTTCACTTCATGTGTTGTTATGGTGTGACTCTGACTCCTCCCACTGTGGGATCTGGCTGACCTTACCTGTTGTTTTGTTTTTACATAGTGTGTCCCTGCCCCAAGGTGGCCCTCAGGATACTCCTCCTCCTTATGTTGTTGACACACCAAGCTCTGAGGCTTGGAAGTTCTATTGATGTGAAGGTTTGAAATAAAAACAAAGTTTTTTTGTGATGTAATGATTGTGATATTTCATGTAATTGAAATGAAATAGAGATGAACAATTGATTCTCACAACAATTAGGACACCCTGATATCTTGCTCGCGCACGCGCACGCACACACATCCATCTTTTACATTTTCTAAGGTTACATGTCTTTGGATTAAATGGTGATCTGATCTGATCTCATACCGTATACAGTAGCTGCCCACTGTTTACTCAACATGGATTGATTCTAGTCGGACCCAGAATGTCATTGCTATTCGGAATCCTTGGGACGTCCCTACCCCATTGAAGTTTACATTTGATTAAGGTAAGGGTTAAGGTTAGGGTTTAGTAAGGGTTATGGTATGGGTAGGGGTTAAAGTTAGGGTAGGGACGTCCCAAGAATCCTTGATAGCATTAACCAACCCAGAATGCTGCGACGCCATGAGCTCCCCCCTCTCTCTGCTCGCGCAGCAGGCTGAGCGCAGAATCTCGCCTCCTATCTTCTCCGCCTCTCATTCATATTTGGTCATCCGGAAGTATCCACAGCTCGGGTAAGCCAGTGTCTATGCAGCGAGTGAGTCTTATGGGTGGAGTATGTAGTTTATTATCCAGTTTTAAATGTATGGACAGTATACCGGACGCATCCCACACCTGTTATATTGACATGCGTATGTCCATACAATTAAGTTAGTGAAATAAATTACAATATGCCGGTAAAGTTTCCTACATCGCTTTTCCTGCCAGCTGTCGGGCTGCGCTCCCTACAGGGCTCGAACCCTCGACTTGTAAAATGGCTGGTTGTGGGTTCCATAGACAGCAAGGGCAGTTATTATGTCAAAAATATCAACATAATTGAGACAAATACCGCGGCGTCTTTTTAAAATAAGGGAGCTGAATATATTACATTATATGCCGTTAACAAACATTGTCCCAGGTTCGAGTGTCGTGTCCATTGATGCGCAGTTCATCCACAGATATGAAACAGGGTTTGGCTATTCGGACCTCGGACTGCGCGTAATGGCGTCTCCCATGAACAGCGACACTTGTTATTCCAACATAAATACAGTACAAGGGTGGATAAAGGTTCGAATGGAGGAAAACAAATACTGTCAATATGATATCGACCCAAACCCGTTGCCAGATATTTAACGAATGTCTTATTTTGTATTAGACTATGCCAGACAAACGACATTTTTTAATCGAAAGAAAAATGGATAGTCTGATTTCGCTGATATCATGCTCTCTTGAACCCTCCGCTGCAGACTGTCGCGTTGATGCTGTGTTAAATTGGCGACTTTGTTTAGAGCCCGGTAAGCAAATTATATAAAACCAGTGAAGTCCATAATAACAGCAAATGTAATGCAAATATGTGCGTCATTTACTCATGCTGCATTACATTTTTAAGATTGACAATCATAGCAATTAAGCATATCAGGTGATCACTGATTGTAGAGCATGAAACCACATACTATAGCCTTTAAAAAAAAATCTCGCCTCAGGTTATTGAGATAATAGCAGGAATTGGAACCCGTTTGAATGATGATGTTGTTGATGATGATGATGATGATGATGATGACAATGTAATGGTGATGATGATGACGATGATGATGTGGAAGGTGGTGGTGGGGATGTTATGAAGGGGATAGGATGATTTAACCTAAAGTGTATTTAGAAAGTATTCATACCCCTTGACTTTTCCACATTTTGTTGTGTTGCAAAGTGGGATTAAAATGGATTTAATTGTCTTTTTTTTGTGTCAACAATCTACATACTCTGTAATGTCAAAGTGGAAGAAAAATTCTAACATTTTTGTATTATTATAATTTTTTACAAATTAATGAAACATAAAACACTATCTTGATTAAATAAGTATTCAACCCCCTGAGTCAATACATGTTAAAAATCACCTTTGGTAGCGATTACAGTCTTTCTGGGGTAAATCTCCAAGAGATTTCCACACCTGGATTGTGCAACATTTGCCCATTATTCTTTTCAAAATTCTTTAAGCTCTGTCAAATTGGTTGTTGATCATTGCTAGACAACTATTTTCAGATCTTGCCATAGATTTCCAAGCAGATTTAAGTCAAAACTGTAACTCGGCTACTCAGGAACATTCACTGTCTTCTTGGTAAGCAACTCCAGTGTAGATTTGGCCTTGTGTTTTAGGTTATTGTCCTGCTGAAAGGGGAATTCATATTCCAGTGTCTGGTGGAAAGCAGACTGAACCAGGTTTTCCTCTAGGAATTTGCCTGTGCTTAGTTCCATTCTGTTGCTTTTTTATCCTGAAAAACTCCCCAGTCCTTAACGATTACAAGCATACCCATAACATGATGCCGCCACCACTATGCTTGAAAATATGGGGAGTGGTACTCAGTAATGTGTTGTATTGGATTTGCCCCAAACATAACACTTTGTATTCAGGACGAAAAGTGAATTGCTTTGCTAAATTTTTTGCAGTATTACCTTAGTGCCTTGTTGCAAACAGGATGCATGTTTTGGAATATTTTTTATTCTATACAGGCTTCCATCTTTTCACTCTGTCAATCAGGTTAGTAATGTGGAGTAACTACATAGTTGTTGATCCATCCTCAGTTTTCTCCTATCACAGCCATTCAACTCTGTAACTGTTTCAAAGTCACCATTGGCCTCATGGTGAAATCCCTGAGCGGTTTCCTTCCTCTCCGGCTACTGAGATAGGAAGGACGCATCTTTGTAGTGGCCTCCCCTCCCGAGTGGCGCAGTGGTCTATGGCACTGCATCGCAGTGCTAGCTGTGCCACTAGAGATCCTGGTTCGAATCCAGGCTCTGTCGTAGCCGGCCGCGACCGGGAGACCCATGGGGCGGCGCACAATTGGCCTAGTGTCGTACAGGGTAGGAGAGGGGAAGGAAGGGCCGGCAGCGATGTAGCTCAGTTGGTAGAGCATGGCGTTTGCAACGCCAGGGTTGTGGGTTCGATTCCCACGCGGGGCCAGTATGAAAAATAATAATGTATGCACTCACTAACTGTAAGTCGCTCTGGATAAGAGTGTCTGCTAAATGACTAAAATGTAAATGTAATGTAAATGTAGTGACTGGGTGTATTGATACACCATCCAAAGTGTAATTAATAACTTCACCATGCTCAAAGGGATTTTTTAATAAAACCCATTTACCAATAGGTGCTATTATTTGCGAGGTGTGGGAAAATGTCCCTTTTCTTTGTGGTTGAATCTGTGTTTGAAATTCACTGCTCGACTGAGGGACCTTACAGATAATTGTATGGATGGGGTACAGAGATGAGGTAGTCATTCAAAAATCATGTTTAAAACTATTATTGCACACAGAGATGAGTCCATGCAATTTATTATGTGACCTGTACTCCTGGACTTATTTAGGCTTGCCATAACAAAGGGGTTGAATACTTATTGACTCAAGACATTTTTAATGAATTCGTAAACATTTTGAAAAAAATAATTCCACTTTGACATTATTGGGTATTGTGTGTAGGCCAGTGACACTTTTTTAAAATATTTAATCAATTTTTAATTCAGGCTGTAACACAACAAAATGTGGAAAAAGTCAAAGGGTGTAAATACTTTCTGAAGGCACTGTTTTTACAGTAAAACAAGAATAGGAGTTTAATAAATTCATAATAGCCTATTTAGTCTATTTGAATAGTTTGAGTCTAGGCATATATCATTATGCACAATGAAAGAACAAGGAAGATATTCTAACAACATAACACTAATTGAATCAACTTCCTAATGTTGCTGCTCTGATATCTTGTGAAATAGCATAAAGACACCTGCCCACCTCAGGACATCTTCCTTATCAATGAAGCCTATAGTCATTTTATTGACAAGTCCTCTTATTATTTGATTTGAATAATTCATCTCTTGTTAAGATTATACAATATTTTATCCCTATTTTACAGATTTAGGCATGTTCCAAAATGGATTCTCAACAGACGGGGGTTCTGACCAATGGTGGCTCAGATGACAGAAGCGTCGGCCAATCCTTGAAGAGATCAGGGACTGTGCCAGAGATCCATGAGGAACCAGTGGACTCCTTGATCTTATCCTGCCCACCAGGTAACCTCCAATAATGCTCCTTTAAACAGGTGTACTCCAGTACAGGTGTCCAATCAAAACCTTTTGAGGCCAAACAAGGAGGAGGGGCTGGGAGAGCGCCAGATGTGGGCGGGACACAGCCAGCATTACAGGAAGCAGTTGAACCCTGCAGGCTCAACCAACCAATCGCAGTCAAGACTGGACTTCCTGGTGTGTGCGATCAACCAATCAGAATCAAATCAGACGTTCCTGGATTGTGCAACAGGCCAATCACAGACTCTGCAGCTCTCAGCTCTACCAAAGACGTGCTTCACTCTGATTCTAAAGGGAGTAGGTTAGAACCCAGAGCTGTTTCGTCTGGGACCAGTTCAAATGCCCTAACCTCCACTACGGTGACTGGTGCGGGCGAGATGGAGGATGTGTGTGTTGAAGAGATAGAACACAGTGAAGAGCCTCTCCACAGGATGAAGACAGAAGAGAGGGATGAGAGGAGAGATGGAGAGAGGGATGTAACACAGGACAGGAATGGTAGTCCCATTGTCCCTGAAGCGCCTCTCATCTCCGACACAGCCAAGGCAGAGAGGGATGGAGGGATAAGGGGGGAGAAAGAAAGGAAAGATAGAGAGGATGAGAGAGTGATCCCTCTTTTCCTGCCCCCTAGTCGATGTCATGGTGGAAAAGAGAGACCAGAGAGGATAGAGAAGGGAGGGCAGAGGCAGGGAAAGGAGGAGGGGAGAGAAGAGAGGAAGAGGCAGGGAAAGGAGGAGGGGAGAGAAGAGAGGAAGAGGCAGGGAGAGGAGGAGGGGAGAGAAGAGAGGAAGAGGAGGGAGAAGTATTGGATTTGAGCTTGCCTAAAAAGAGAGAGATCAAGGAGAGGAGCCTTTGGCATGAGAGCTCACTGCTTATGGAGGTAGATGAGGTAGAGGGGGATGGAGATAGGGACATAGTAGAGGAAGATGATGGTGATGATGAAGAGGATTCTATATTGAGAGGGGATGGAGCTGACATTTTTGGGGGACCTCTCCTGTCTCCCTCGTTCTTCTCTACCTCCGTTTTCACCTCCCTCTCTTCCATAGACTGTGACAGTGAAGGTCTTCTCCTGATAGATGACCAGGGTATTCCATACACACTCACCCCTGAAGGGCACAAAGTGCCCCAAATAGACTCTTCCAGGCCAGACAACCCCCCCTCAAGCCAGCCAATGGTGCAGTCCAGCTCATTGGCGGTAGAGGATGACAGGTCGTCTCATATAACCACAGCAGGGGTCACTTACCTCAGCCAAAGTTTAGTAAAAACTACACACACACACAAGGAAAACACATGTCTCGCTCCTGTTACGTCTATGAAACCTTCACAGAAGTCAGAACTTCTCAAAAATAAAGAACACTCAAAGAACCCAGAACTCTTACAGAATGTGGAACCCCCTAAGGTTCTAGATTCAGGTGTGAAAGCTGTTAGCGAGGCTAGTGCTGCTGTTTCCCAACCTTCTAGTTCTGCTGTACCCCTCCAACCCCCTCAGCCCATCCAGATCCTGACTAACCCCTCCTCCAACACCCCCATCCTCCTCTTCCCCTCCTCCCCCCAGCTCTCCTCCACTACCCTAACCAAGACTGATACCAACCCAGGCCTCCTGTCCTTCTCTCTCCCCCTCTCCCTCACCCAGAACTCCCCCAGCACCTCCACCTCTATGTTCCTCCTCCTCTCCTCCTCCACTACCTCTTCCTCCGGTCAGTCTTTCTCTACCTCCACACCCATCGCTCTCATTGACCCCTCCACCGGTCAGCTCTCCCAAATCACTGCCTCCTCTTCATGCTCTCTTTCTCTTTCATCCCCTCTTTCTCTCTCTCTCTCTTCTGGTCAGATCGCCACATCAAGGTCATCCCTCCCTTCCAATCCCTCCCACCCAGTTATTAGATTGACACCCAACAACTCCCCTACCATCCTATCAAGAGAGAGTCCCAGCGTAAACCCTCCCGCCCCCCTGACCTCCCCCTCTGTGGTCTCCTCCCTTCCCTACAAGCAGTCCAGTGCTGATGGCAGTTCTAAAGCAGTTCCACTCAGCTCACCTCCTCACAAACACACTGAACCAAACTGTTGTGACCCCAACCCTGATCATCAGTCACTATCTACTGAAGAAACTCAAATGGAGTCTGTTCCAAATGGGTCATCTCCTACTAAAGCCCCTCCCCTTACACACCCGCAATCCCCTTCTCTGTCCTTTGACTTCAGTTTGGAGGCATCCGACCAATCAAAAGCCCCAGAGTCAAAGCACACCTCCCTCCCATGGGACGACCATCTCTACTTCTCCTCCTCCACCGCTCCTCCCTCCCCTCCCCTCGCCCCCATCTTCCCCTCCAGCGGACCCGGTAACCTGGACCCCCTGGACCCTCTGGACCCCCTGTCCCCAGCCTCCTCTCCATCCTCTGGGCCACGAAGGGTCCTCTACTGCCCTCTCTGCCCCAGAATCTTCTACTACCTGTCTGACCTGGAGCGTCACTCCATCACCCACTCTCAGAACAAGCCCCATGTCTGCCTGCAGTGTGGCAAGGCCTTCAAACGCTCCAGCCATCTGCAGGTGAGCTCAGTTGTTCATAAATGTTTGAATTGTGGTGTGGTGATTTGGTGGGCTCATGATGACATATTGTTTTGATTGTGTTTGAAGTGGAACTAGGTCCTTTGTGTCAGATTTCATGTTGTTATGACTGCTATGTAATAAGTAGGTATAAACATATCATAATATATGAACATGAATGTATAGTATTATCTAACAAATGTGACCCTCAACCTTTGACCCTGAACAGAGACACAAGCACATTCACACGGGCGAGAGGAACTTTGTGTGCCCCATCTGCTCCAAGCGCTTCAGGGAGGCGGGCGAGCTGCAGCGCCATCAGAGGGTACACACAGGAGAGAAGCCCTACCAGTGCCCGCTGTGCCACACACGCTTCGCCGAGCGCAACACCCTGCGTCGACACACCAAACGCAAACACCCTTACCACCAGGCAGCTATGGAGATGCTGACAGAGAGAGGAGGAGGAGGGGGGGGAGGAGGGGATGAAGATGAGGGTACAGAAGAGTGGTATAGTTCCAATGTGTCCAACTTGGACAACTCTGACTCTGAACCAGATTCTGAGGTCATTTCCTGATGCTGATCCTCTTGAATAAAGGGAAGGAGAAGGAGGAGGAGGAGGAGGAGGAAAGGAGGAGGAGGAGGAGGAGAAGGGAAGGAGAAGAGGAGGAGGAGGAGGAGGAGGAAAGGAGGAGGAGGAGGAGGAGAAGAGGAGGAGAGGAGGAGGAGAGCAAAGGTGGTGTAGCTTCACTGTGTCCAACTTGGACAACTCTGACACTGAAAGGGACTGAAACAGACTTTTTAATGATAAGTATGTGAATGGTACTTCCCAATGAGAACATTGGTTATATGTATTTATACATTTCTCTTGAATGTATTTTATTTCCATTCCCTTACATGGTCCGAAAATGATCACTGATCTCACAAACCATTTCCCATCAAGTATTCCTTCGATTTTCGTCATTTCCACAACTATAGGGCAGAAAATGTTCATGGACATTCTAAAAAGGTCACCCTTTGACATTCTGCTATAACAATAGATTAGCACTACCAAAGTACAAAAAATTATGTTGTAAAAAGCGCTGTCACTATGTTTTATTGTAACATTGTTCTTTATTACTAAAAATGTTTCTTCTCTTGTGGGAGCTGTACTTATAATTAAGTGAGATAATTTAACTTTCTTACTATTAAAGACACTGTGAGTAGTTTGGATTTTGTGTTCAAATTTGAGAACAATAGCCTCCAATTTGTCCTTTTTACATGGTTTTTACATTGTGATTTCTGCTGCCTAAGCCTTCAAAACAAGGTGCCCTAATTTGTTAAATGCAAGAATTCTGATCAATTTTTTGTTGTTGTTGATTGCACCATTGATGACACTCAATTCAAGGTTTTGATAAATGTTAATTTATTTCAATTAAACCTCCCTGTGTGCCTTCAGAAAGTATTCATACATTTACATTTTAGTCATTTAGCAGACGCTCTTATCCAGAGCGACTTACAGTTAGTGGTGCATACATTTTTCATACTGGCCCCCCTGTGGGAATCGAAACCCACAACCCTGGCGTTGCAAGCGCCATGCTCTACCAACTGAGCTACAGGAGGCCTATTCACCTTGACTTATTTCACATTTTGTTGTGTTACAGCCTGAATTGAAAATGGATTAAATAGATTTTTTTTATCATACACACAATACCCCATAATGAAAAAGTGAAAACATGTTTTGAGAAATGTTTGCAAATTTATTGAAAATGGAAAACATAAATATCTAAGTTACATAAGTATTCACACACCTGAGTCAATACATGTTAGAATCACCTTTGGCAGTGATTACAGCTGTGAGTCTTTCTGGGTCTCTTTCTGGGTCTCTAAGACCTTTGCACACCTGGATTGTACAACATTTGCGCATTATTCTTTTTAAAATTCTTCAAGCTCTGTCAAGTTGGTTGTTGATCATTACTAGATAGCCATTTTCAAGTCTTGACATAGATTTTCAAGCCAATTTAAGTCTAAAACGGTTACTAGGCCACTCAAGAACATTCAATGTTGTCTTGGTAAGCAACTCCAATGTAAATTTGGCCTTGTGTTTTAGGTTGTCCTGCTGAAAGGTGAATTTGTCTCCCAGTATCTGCTGGAAAGCAGACTTTTCCTCTAAGATTTTGCCTATTCCGTTTATTTTGATCCTAAAAAACTCCCTAGCCCTTGCCGATAACAAGCATACCCATAACATGATGCAGCCACCTCCATGCTTGAAAATATGAAGAGTGGTACTCTGATGTGTTGTGTTTGATTTGCCCCAAACATAACGTTATTTCTTATTCAGGACATAAAGTTAATTTCTTTGCCACATTTTTAAAAATGTTACTTTAGTGCCTTATTGCAAACAGGATGCATGTTTGGAATATTTTTATTCTGTACAGGCTTCCTTTTTCCCCACTCATTTAGACAACCCGGTCTCAGAGCATTTCGTATTATTATGTACGTAAATCTGCAACACTCATTTAGTATCATATGTTACGTTTCGTATGGTATGTATACATTTGTGGATGTCCATCATCCATTTCGTATGATATGTTACGAATTACAATTCGTAAATATGTTACGAATTTACGAATGTAAAATATGTCACGGATTTGCAATACGTACAATATGTTACTAATTTGCAAAACTTATATGTTACGAATTCTAATTTGTTGTGGCTAACGTTAGCTAGGCTAGGGGTTAGGGTTAAGGTTAAGTTTAGGAGTTAGGTTAAAGAGTTAAGGTTAGGGTTAGGGGAAGAGTTAGCTAACATGCTAAGTAGTTGAAAAGTTACTAAAATGCTAAAGTTGTCCGTGATGAGATTCGAAACCGAAACGTTTGCGTTGCTAGACGTTCGCATTGTATGCCTACCCATCCACCCCGACCAACCACCCTCCTTTTGGTTTTGCCTTCAGTAACCTTCTGTCTTATGTAACCATACCGAACGTAACATATCATACTATTGTGAGTGTCCCAGATTTACATTTACTATGTTACGTCTAGTCTATGAGACCAGGCTGAGTAACTACAACATTCTTGAGCCATCCTCAGTTTTCTCCTATCACAGCCATTCAACTCTGTAACTGTTTTAAAGTCACGATTGGCCTCATGGTGAAATCCCTGAGCGGTTTCCTTCCTCTCAGGCAACTGAGTTAGGAAGGACGCCTGTATCTTTGTAGTGACTGGGTGTATTAATACACCATCCAAAGTGTAATTAATAACTTCACCATGCTCAAAGGTATATTCAATGTCTGCTTTTTTTTTTTTTACCCATCTACCAATAGGTGCCCTTCTTTGTGAGGCATTGGAAAACCTCCCTGGTCTTTGTGGTTGAATCTGTGTTTGAAATTCACTGCTCGACTCAGGGACCTTACAGATAATTGTATGTATGGGGTACAGAGATGAGGTAGTCATTCATAAATCATGTAAAACACTATTATTGCACATAGAGTAAGTCCATGCTACTTATTTAGTGACTTGCTAAGCAAATTTCTACTCCTGAACGTATTTAGGCTTTATCACGACTCAGGATATGACCCAGAGGAGGATGGTTCAGTTCTCAGATCATTTATTATAACACGGGAAATAGGCAAAAGGGCAGGTCGAGGACAGGCAGAGGTTTGTAACCATATCAGAGTTGGACAGGTACAGGACGACAGACAGGCTCAGGGTCAGGGCAGGCAGAAGTTCATAAACCAGGTCAGAATCAGGCAGGTACAGAATGGCAGGCAGGCTCAGGGTCAGGGCAGGCAGAAGCGCAGGGAAAAACAGGAAACACGCTGGGACGACCTGACAATACAAGATGAACTGGCAACAGACAAACAGAAAACGCAGGTATAAATACACAGGGGATAATGGGAAAAATGGGAGACACCTGGTGGGAGGTGGAGATAAGCACAAGACAGGTGAAACAGATCCGGGTGTGACAGGCTTGCCATAACAAAGGGGTTGAATACTTATTGACTCAAGACATTTCAGCTTTTAATTTTTAATTACTTTTAAAAAAATCTAAAAACACAATTCCACTTTGACATTATGGGGTATTGTGTGTAGGCCAGTGACACAAAATCTCAATTTAATTCATTTTAAATTCAGGCTGTAACACAACAAAATGTGGAAAAAGTGAAAGGGTGTGAATACTTCCTGAATGCACTGTACCTACACTGTATATTACAAGATTTGTACATGGTGTGCCTGGCATCCTTCTGGCATCCTTCACCAGTCTCCTTTCCTTCAGGACCATCCATCAAGTCCGTCAGATCAGTGGTCATGGAGAAATGGAAACAAGGTCATAAAGTTAATCAAGTTAAATACAAGTTTAATACTTGATTAACTTGAATACTTTCAGGCCAATTGTCAATCTATTAAGATAATGCATTTTATTTTTTAATGACGTTGACATCATTCACAGTGAAATCCACTCAGGTCTTTCTGTCCTGGTCTCTATGGTAGCTGATATATGTGCTAGGTTTGTGACCTGCAGAGTTGGAATGTCTCCAGGGTCTAATTGGGTTTGTAAGGCAGGCTTCAGTTTTTTTCTCCTTTCAACCATTTTCTGTCCCATGAAGCCTTCTTTAGGCCAGCAGAACCTCGCTGATGATACATCATTAAATAGTGCATCTCCTAAATGAACTGCCTGGCTCTGTACTCTGCATCATCAGGATCGTCATTTACTGACACGACATAACCTTACTATGACCAGCGACATACCATTATACTTAATAGTGACCATACCATTATATACCTGCTCGACCTCATATCATATGTCATTATTACTGACCAGGACATACCATTAACTACTGACCAGGACCATACCATTACTACTTACCAGGACCATACCATTACTACTGACCAGGACCATACCATTACTACTGACCAGGACCATACCATTACTACTGACCAGGACCATACCATTACTACTGACCAGGACCATACCATTACTACTGACCAGGACCATACCATTACTACTTACCAGGACCATACCATTACTACTGACCAGGACCATACCATTACTACTGACCAGGACCATACCATTACTACTGACCAGGACCATACCATTACTACTGACCAGGACCATACCATTACTACTGACCAGGACCATACCATTACTACTGACCAGGACCATACCATTACTACTGACCAGGACCATACATTACTACTGACCAGGACCTACCATATACTGACCAGGACCATACCATTAATACTGACCAGGACCATACCATTACTACTGACCAGGACCATACCATTACTACTGCCAGGACCATACCATAACTACTTGAACCAGGACCATACCATTACTACTGACCAGGACTATACCATTACTACTGACCAGGACCATACCCATTACTACTGACCAGGACCATACTACTACCAGACCTACCATTACTACTGACCAGGACATACCATTACTATGACCAGGACATACCATTAATTACTGACCTAGGACCATACCATTACTACTGACCAGGACCATACCATACTACTGACCAGGACCATACCATTACTACTGACCAGGACCATACCATTACTACTGACCAGGACCATACCATTATTACTGAC